ACTTTTCTCTCGATAGAAAATTCACTTCCCAAATTCTGAAAGTTTATTTAGATTCGACTGTCTATAAAGACAATTGGCTCATTATGAACAGGTATTTTTTCGTAAAAAAAATATGAACATGTACTAAATTGTAATAAAGTAAATATCACTTCAAAAAAATCAAAAAAACTTATATGGAGTACTTCTTCCGGCACTCCGTATATTTGTTCAGAATCTATTCACTTGGTCAAATGTAAATAATCTTATTTTTATTATTCATTTCATAAAAAAATATAGTCTTATCGATCACCTCTTGTTTTGTACTCCCCCGGTCTTGAAAATCTTTCATATTTTGAACTTTTTGGTAAAGAAGGATGACACTCTTTGACCACGAATTATACATATTCTAAATAAATAAATGGTATAAAATTTTGATATATCAAAACTATATCCTAGGATTAACCCAATTATATTGAATTTATATTATAATTAAATATACTTTTCTCACAATTTATGGTCAAAGTGTGTGACTGTTTTACTAAAAAAAGTCAAAACATGAAAGATTTTTAAGATCAGATGAAATAAATTTTTTATGTAGTTTTTTACTACTCGTGTATAAATTTTACATCTACAAATCCGATATACTCTCAAATAAATTGAATTGGAATAAAATTAGTCAATTTTTGTATGGAAAGATCTATAACTGACGAAAGAAGTGCCCGAGTAATAAACATATGTATAGTAAAGTTTAGGGTCCAACACTCTCAAACAAAAATATTGCTCTATCTCATTGATAGAGTGAAAGACAAAATTAAAACTAAGGTCGCCTTTATAAAATATTTGTAGATAGTAAGAATTGGTACAATTCATTTTAATTTCGTAATCAGTACTTTGTAAGATGCAATTACTTCTTCGCGTATTCTTCATGTAAGATCTTCTAAGATATATATATGGACTATACCTCTAAAGTTTAGTATTAGAAAAACTTAGAAAGAATTGAAAGAAGTCGAAAGAATTTGAAAAAAAAACAAATTAAATTTGGAAGAAACACGTCTAAAGTGAACCCAACACGCCGTAACTAATTTAGTTTCTTATGTGAAATACTTTAAAAATCATTTGAAATAAGTTAAGAATCATATTGTTTTCTATTTATTTGATTACATTTTATTATCTATTCACACTTTTTCAATACAATGATAATAAAAATCTCAAAAAAATATTATAACAAAAACTTTAAATTTAAATTTTGAAAAGTAGAAGCTAATAATTAATTTCAAAATCAACAAGAAACAATCTTATTTTGAGTGTCCCTCCTAATACCAAAAGAAATGTTAATGTTCTCAATCTAATGATAATATAAAATTAAAAAAAATAGTTTTTCTTCCTATAATAACAAAAACTTTAATTTTTCAGTTTGAGTAGTAAAGTTAAAGTTTTATCTATGTCGTCCTTAATTTTCTTTCCATGTTGCTTAAAAGTTTTTTTTTTTTTTTGAGTGTTCCCCCCTAATAAAAAAAACAAAAATTGTCCCTTAAAGTGAACCTTTTTTAATACGGAGTATGAGCAAATATAGTGCACCCTTTTGTTAATGCACGCGTTATTCGTTACACTGTACTGTATTTATATTTGACTTATATACGTACTATTTGACCGTGACATTATTTTGTCTAACAAGTTGAATGGCATTACGTGGAACACTTTTAATTCAATTTATTTGATTGTAGGTCTAAAATTTAAAAATAAAATTTATGTAGCAAAAAATTATATGAAAAGTTTTACTCTCTCTGTCCCAATTCCATTCGTCTATTTTGGTTTACGATGTTTGCCTGAAGTAATTTTTAATACAATTTATTTAAAAATTGGAGCAGAATTAAAAAAATAGAATTTACATATTAAAAAAATATCAGAAGCTTTGCGAAACGAAATGTAATATGATTATATTATTTTATCAAATGAGTAACAAATATAATAAATGAAGTTTGACCATGTGAAGAGTAAATAGTTTAATTTAGAATGGAAGAAGTACAAAACAAGGAGTGACATGACTATATTATTTTATTAAATGACTATAAAATAAGCAAGCAATGTGAGTTAATTTTGACACTGTAAATAGTGCTTGGAATGATCTATGAGAAACGGATGAAGTATATATATAACACCACAACCTACGTAACTCGAATTAATGAGTTGGCGAACCGGGTTGCTACTAAAAGCATGTTCTTTAATGTTCAAACTCTTAATTTCTAATTTTTATAGTTTTTATTTTTTAGAAAAAAGAAGAATTGTGAGTCACTCATTCCATTCATAAAAAGAAAATGAAATTTTTGGAACAAACAAAGAGGGAAAGAGTGACGTCTTTTTGGAATGAACAAAAAAGAAAGTGTAAATTGTTCCGAAAAATAATGGAGAGTATATATTTCCAAATTAATTAATTTGGAAATTAGTATTTAATATTAAATCAATAAAATCAATTTTGTGGATCTAATGGTAAATATAATACGGGGTACATATTAATTTTGTGACAATAATTAAGTAGGGTATAAGTAGTTGGTACAAAGTAATATTTTGTTTAAATGCTTGTTGGAACAAATTAATATTTGTTGTTGTATAAAAAAATTATAATGAAATATTCAATCCATACGTATAATACGAAATTATATGTATAATCTCAAATATACGTATATTTTAAAGTATTTATGAAAGAATAATACACATATTAACTAACTAGGCCGGAGACCCAAAACCCTCCGATTATCGTCATGCATCAACATTATAATACTCAAAAACTACAATTGATTCGAATTTAGATTTAATTTAATTCTCTATACTTTTTATTCGTTCAGTTACATTTTGATTTAAATACAATTCGATAACTAGTAATATCTTGTGAAATTTGCACTAAATAGGACTAAAACATAATGACTTTCCGAATCTAGGACTTAAACTTTTTTATTCCCTAAATAGGACTTAATAATGTTTTCGTGGAAGGAATAATGCTCAGCAATGATAGACATTACTTGAATAATGACTAAAGAATAATGACCAAAGGTCCTACATTCGGAAATAAAAACATATAGTCCTATTTTGGGAAAGTCATTATGTTTTAGTCCTATTTAGGTAAATTACTCTAATATCTTTTCGATTATGAATTATTCAATATCAGGTAATTAATTTTGGATCTATATATCCACTAATATATACTCCCTCCGTCCTAAAACTTTCTTCCCACTTCCCCTTTTCCCCGTCTTAAAACTACCTTCCCATTAGAAAAAAAAGATGACAAATGACATTAATATCCTCATGTATTTACACCAATTATCTTCTATCTCTATATTTTGAATGATTGCAAAAAAAAATTCAAAAAATCTTTTTTAAGGAGGGTAAAATTTGAAGTCAAAGCCAAAAATTAAAAATGGGGAAAAGTCAAACTGGGAAGAAAGAATTAGGACGGAGGGAGTATATATATATATATATATATATATATATATATATATATATATATATATATATAGTCAAATCTATTGAGAATATATGAGTTATTAGGTTTGCTCTATACAACTTACTTTTTACTAATTACTTATCCTTATCAAAGAGAACATATACGTGATGTTGGAAAGACAAGACTTCAATCTAAGGATGATAATTCCTATCCGATATGACGGGTAATTAAATTATTCGATCCGATTTAATGGATAAAAGTCCAAACAAAACAAGATGACAGACAGATGGTGGATGTGCTAATGATGGCCGACCGGATGTAAGTGAAGATTTTTCTCACTGATCACCCGATCCATCACTTCGTATAAGATTAATGAATCAACAAGGATGAAACTCTATCCGATAAAAATTCGACCCATTGTCATTTCTACTATATAATGAATTTTTTTCTTCTCCAAAGTTAATGCAGGCCACTCCACTTTCTGACCTTTTACATTCCAACAGTGAAAATACACTTGTTTCAGTTATTTGGGTTGAACACTAGATCTAACTTAATTAAAAAATATCTCACAATTGAGATTTGAGATGACTTAATTAACATGTAACCCTATCCTTTTTCCCCTTGGTTCCCATGACATTGGGTCATGGGAACCTTTCCCTTTTTTCCCTTGGTTCCCATGACATTGAACAAAATGAAACCAATTTTTAAAGAAAGAGATAAACAGTGATGACGACGGCAGCAACAACTGTGGTTGCGCCTGTGGTGGTTGAGTGGTGACGGAGGTATCATTCCCCTAATATTCCTTAATTAGGGGTTATCAAGATTCAAGACACCCTCTCTTTTGGAGGGTTCAAATATGGGACATATGTCCCTATATGCTTCTAGCAAGTTACTACCGGGTACTTATTATTGTCCTAGTAAAAAATGTTTCTAGTGTATCTCAACTTTGACATCATTTTTGAAACCATAAGCATTCTGTCAAAGAGTTTCGAGCCCACTACGGGTTATTATAGATAATTTTATTCAAATGCATACGATAATTATTGTTTGTGTATGTATAAATCCTCTAGGATTGTTATTCATGGGGGCAACCGTGGTGAGTTTCTAGCACCGCCTTTGATATTGTTCTGTCTATGTTAATGTATAATGTCAAAACTAGTGTCAAAGTTGGACTCCCCAAGCATTGCTCATTACCCTAGTTCTCAAGGTGGGGGGTTGACAAAACCCATATGACTTTAAAGTTTCTGGTTGGTGGCTCAAACTGAAAAAAAAAAATAGATCAACAGCAAGTATGGTCTTATGTTTCCCAACTGCTTTAACTGCTAATAATTTCATAACTATTAATTACCCTCAAATTTTCCTTGATAGCTAAATCAAACCTAAATTCCCAGCTATATCATCTGCCCTAATCAAGGAATTTCTGTGATCCCTGGGCAGAGAGAGGGTAGCTAGTGAATAGAGAGCTGTAATAAATGAAACCCCTCTTTCAAAGCCTTCAAAAGTTGTTGAATGTGCACATCCAAACAGCTCCCACCCCACTCACATTGTACATGCTTCTACTTAATACTCAACAGCTAATCCACAACAAATCTCCCAAAAAAGAAACCAACTTTATATGATGGGTCTGTTTTCTTCCCCCTCCCCACACCACACAACAATGTGGACTCCCAAAGAAACCATGTTTTCAAGAATTGCCCAGAGTGGGGGGAGCAGGGATGAGGAGGCACTCATCATGGCTGCGCTGCAGAGGTCTCCCACGGTCTTTCGTGCCCGGAATTCGGTCTTTATCGGGCAGGAAGGAGATGTTTCGGTTCTGGATGTCGGGCAGCTGAAAGAAGAGGAGCAGGTGCAAGTGTTGGAGAAGTTGGTGACTGCTATCAATGAGGATACCGAGGCATTTTTCAGAAGAGTTAGACGGAGATTTGAGGCGTAAGTTGAACTTCGTTCAACTGTTTTTTGCACTCGTTTCTTTTGTTGTCTCCCTTCGCTTGCAGTTTTGGTGCATTTCCATTGTTATTGGCATGAAGAACTTTAGTTTGCTTGGAAATTGGCGTTCCCTATTGTATATGCTATGTGTGTTGTCAAAATGGGGAAAGTTTCCTCATAGTATGAACTATTGTACCGAAATCTAAACAGTGAAAAGTATTCGAGCGATTAGAGGAGTCACAAACGGCCTTGCTTAACATATCAAATGCTTTAAACTATCATGGGGAATGTTCTTTCTTGCACAACTTAAAACACAGTATGCCACCAAACAGAAATCATCTAAAGAGGGGAACACAAAGGTTTCCGTGGTTTACAGTTTTCGTGCCTTGCTCTCAGTGTTATTATCATGAAGGAATTACAGCTTAGTTATAAGATATCAAATTTAAATGTTTTGGATTCATTAATTTGCATTAAGAGCTTTGCTTAGACTCAACTCCTAGGGTGTTTTTTATAATACAACATGCATCGAACAAAAAAGATGCCTTTTTGAAGAAAGATGAGCCTCTTCCCGGGTAAAAGAGTTGATTAGTCTATAGAGTAGCCCTAATTGAATCTCCTTGCTATGAAGGGTTCTTGAAAGAAGGTGCATAGGTTATTTTCAATTTGATTAGAACATGACCTTGTGTAGGCATGACAGGCAGGCTGTCTTACCTTGATACAATTTTATCTTTTGATATCATTTGCAGAGTTGATTTAGAATTCCCAAAGGTGGATGTTCGGTTTCAAGATCTAAAGGTAGATGCATTCGTTCATGAAGGGAGCAGAGCATTGCCAACCATCCCAAATTTCATATTCAACATGACCGAGGTTAGATTCACATATATCTATAGCTAGTCTCTGAAGTTTCTTTTTTCTCATTTTTAAAGCAATTGTCTGAGAATGTAATGTTGTGTCACAACTTCAAAAACATTCAAAACAAAGGCTTTTTTGAGAAAGTTGAGGATATTTCCCAGCCGGAGACGGAAGAGACTGTCCATCCTAAATAACATCAGTGGTATCCTCCGACCATCAAGGTAACACTGCTTCTAGCTTAATCACACAAACAAGTCATTTCTTCCGAAGATAATTGTTTCTACTTATAAGAGAACCATGGTACTGTGTGTTAGGTTGACTCTTCTTCTTGGCCCTCCAAGCTCTGGGAAGACTACATTGCTTTTGGCTCTTGCTGGGCGCCTTGGACCTGGTTTGAAGGTGACATACTTTTCTTTAACTCGAGAATGGATTGTTAGGTCATCTCATGTCCGGAAAAAAAACATTTCACTTTTTTTACGTCATATGTGATAATAATTTTCAACAAATTTGAAGATGTCAGGGAATATTACATACAATGGGCATAGTCTGAAAGAGTTTGTGCCTCAGAGAACGTCTGCTTATGTCAGCCAGAAGGACTGCCACATTGCAGAGATGACAGTAAGGGAGACAGTCGAGTTCTCTGGACGTTGTCAGGGAAATGGCTTTAAGCATGGTAATTAACAATGTCTTTTTGTCTGTTATTTAACTGTTTTCAAGCTCACGTTTAGCGGTTGAAATTTGGTTTCAGATTTGCTAATGGAACTCTTGAGAAGAGAGAAAATTGCCGGAGTTACCCCTGATCCTGATCTTGATATGTTTATTAAGGTACTATCCTTCTTGACTTTCATTTGGGTCTCTCCATGCATCACATATATAAGTCTACTAAGTTTTTTGCCTCCATCATTGTCTCTCCTAACCTAACTAGGGGATGCCATTTATGTCCCTTTTTTTTTTTTAATTTCAATATTAAAGGAATTGTTTTGTCCTAGGCAGTGGCACTGGGAGAGCAGACACACATTGTTGTGGATTACATTCTAAAGGTATGCTAGTAATAAAGTTGACAGTTTCTTGTCTACTTGTTTGTTTTCCTAGACATTTTCTTTTATATCCTTCTGACACATCTGCAAAGATTTTAGGATTGGATACTTGTGCAAATACATTAGTGGGAGACGAAATGCTCAAAGGGATCTCAGGCGGACAAAAGAAGCGCCTTACAACAGGTTTTACCTACCCCTTAACAAGTGTTAGGGGATACTCACCCCTTGAAAGTTCTTTGAAAGCTGAGCTACGTCCAATCCTATTCTTAACTTTAGCAAAACTTGACCATGTGGTCATGATTCGAGCTTAAAGAGTTTCCCTCATCTCTTAAATATGAATGAACAAAACCTTGAATGCCTTCATTTCTTGAAACATCCATGCAGGTGAATTGCTAGTGGGAAGTTCAAGGGTACTATTAATGGATGAGATTTCAACAGGCCTAGATAGTTCAACCACCTATCAAATCATCAAGTATCTTAAGCATTCAACTCATGCTTTCAATGGGACTACACTAGTTTCTCTCCTGCAACCGGATCCTGAAACTTACAGCCTGTTTGATGATGTCATTCTGCTGAGCGAAGGGCAGATCATATATCAGGGTCCTCGAGAAAATGCTCTTGATTTCTTTATGTTTAATGGTTTTAGATGCCCTCCTAGAAAAAACATAGCTGATTTTCTACAAGAGGTATGTCTGTATGTTGAGTCCGGGCTTCATTCTAATGCAATGATAATTGTGTTCTAAGAATTGTATTTATGTGCAGGTCACATCTGAAAAGGATCAAGGCCAGTACTGGTGCCTTAATAGCCAGTACCGCTATATACCTGCAACGAAATTTGTTGAAAACTTCAGAACCTTTCACATTGGTAAGTCTTTGACAGATGAGCTGAAAACTTCAATGGGAAAGTGTTGTAGTGAGACAGCAGTGTTGTCAAAAAGAACGTACGGTGTGGAAAGGGCCGAGCTTCTAAAGATTGGTTTCCAGTGGCAGAAGCTACTTTTGAAGCGAAATGCATTTGTTTTTGCTTTTAAATTCATCCAGGTAATGGTTTTTTTCTTGACATTTTAATCTCAAATTTGCCCTCTTGGTACATTGTCTTAGAATAGATGAGTAATTTTACCAAAATAATCAGTTATGGTTATGAGACAGAAGTACTCTTTGTTTGCAGCTCTTTATGATCATTTCGATCATGATGAGTGTATTTTTTCGGTCAACAATGCATCACGATACACTCGAAGATGGAGCAATATATCTTGGTGCACTCTACTTTGCAATCCTTATGGTTCTCTTCAATGGATTTTTGGAGGTTCCCATGATAATAGCCAAGCTTCCGGTTCTTTATAAACACAGAGATCTTCGGCTATACCCATGTTGGACATTTACCTTTCCTTCTTGGATTTTGAGTATCCCTACTTCACTTGCAGAATCTGTGATATGGGTTGCAGCCACATATTATACCGTTGGCTTTGATCCTCAAATAACAAGGTGATCTTTATGTTTTATTTGTATTTCCGTCCTAAAATGTCAAAGAGATGTAGCCAAACTATGGTAGTTTTTTATATTTTATGCTTGTTTGAAGTGTTTGTATGAGAAACCCTTATGTCTAATAATTTCAGGTGCCTCAAGCAATTTCTGGTGTATTTCTCCTTGCACCAAATGTCAATTGGTCTTTTCCGTGTGATGGCATCACTAGGCCGAAGCATGGTAGTAGCTAACACTTTTGGATCATTTGCAATGTTGGTAGTCATGGCTCTTGGTGGATTTGTTCTTTCCAAAGGTAATCAATCTTCATCCCCAATTATCTTCACAATCTTTGTCAAGATCAACAACAACAACAATAACAACCTAGTGTAAACCCATTTCTGTTGGGGTATAGAGGTCCATCAAGATGTACGCAATATTAACCTTGTGAAAACAGAGAAGCTATTTCCGTTAGACTCTAGATGCAGTGCGGCTTTTATTGTCCAAAGCTTCATAGAAAGTAAGGAGCAACGGAATAATAGAGAGAAATATGAGTTTGTAAGGCATTGAGTTGGACTAGCCATTCAAGACTTTGATCTTGCATTGAGTTTATAAGGCTTACTAGTCCTTGAGCTTTTTAGAACACCGCGTTGAAGTTTTCCATATTGTGGCAGATTGCATCCCCAGTTGGTGGATTTGGGGTTACTGGTTTTCTCCACTGATGTATGCCCAGAATGCAGCTTCTGTGAACGAGTTTCGAGGCCATTCTTGGGATAAGGTAGATTCCTTCTACTTGATTTGATTGTACTAACTCGGTATTATATTTTTCAGCAAATCACTGAAACATAAGCCGCACTGCTTGAATCTTGAAACTTTCATTAGTATAATTTATGAGCATGTCTTATAATTTAAACTAAATTTTGTCTGTTGGGCAATAGTTTGTGTTGATAAAACCTGTAGAATCAATTTGCTCAATGACAGTAGTATTAACATTTTAGAGTTTGATCCTAAAAGTTCTATTCAATCAAGTACTTTGGCTTAAACCTTATACGCATATTTGATTCTTGTGCCTGATAGACCGGGGACACTGCTTTGCCGTTGGGTAAGATGTTAATGAAGGTCCGCAGCTTATATTCAGAAGATTACTGGTATTGGATCGGAGTCGGTGCCTTGCTTGGATATACAGTATTGTTCAACATTCTCTTCACCTTATTTCTGACTTACCTTAACCGTAAGTTCCATCTTATGAAATTACCTAGAAGTTAAAAAAAAACTGTTTTCTCGTGCACTAAAAGATTGAATTTAACCGATTATCTAGTTTGTCTCCAAACGTTACAAACTCATATAGTAATGAATTTCTTCAGCTATTGGGAGCCAACGAGCGGTTGCTCCTAAGAGGAAGCTGAAATATTGTGGGAATGGCCAAGAAAATGAACCCAGTAGCATCATCGAGCTTTCAGAATATTTGCAGCACTCGCCCTCCTCCTATTCAGGTTGGTTGAGAATCATTTGATGGATCTCTATGTTAAACCTCCTTGAACTACTACTGTTATGGAGCCTCAAAGTCTTACTAACATTTTAGCAGGGAAGGACGTTAAGAATGGGATGGTTCTTCCATTTCAGCCTCTTTCCATGTCTTTCAGTAACATCAACTATTACGTGGATACCCCTCTGGTAAATAATTTCATACCATTTCTATTAAAAAACAATTTTCAAAAAAACTGTATTGCTAATTATCATGGTGTTTCAGGAACTTAAAAGTGAAGGGATAAAAGAGGAAAGATTGCAGCTTTTGGTGAACGTCAGTGGAGCATTTCGTCCGGGGGTGCTTACTGCACTAGTGGGGGTTAGTGGTGCTGGGAAAACTACACTAATGGATGTTTTGGCAGGTAGAAAAACAGGTGGGCATATTGAAGGTGATATATTCATTTCTGGCCATCCCAAGAAACAAGAAACTTTTGCAAGAGTCTCCGGTTACTGTGAGCAGAACGATGTTCATTCCCCTTGCTTAACTGTCAATGAGTCCATTCTGTTTTCTGCTTGGCTCCGTCTCTCCTCTCAAATAGACTTGAAAACACAAAAGGTATATACATATAAGATAATCTTCTTTGATTCCTGGCAATGATGATGAAGGGCGACCTGCATTCCTAAGACATTTTGTTTTGGGCCAGGCTTTTGTGGAGGAGGTAATGGAGCTAGTTGAGTTGACTCCTTTAGGGGGGGCATTGGTTGGCCTTCCAGGGGTTGATGGGCTTTCAACCGAGCAAAGGAAACGTTTGACAATTGCCATCGAGCTTGTTGCGAACCCATCCATAGTTTTCATGGATGAACCAACTTCTGGGCTGGATGCCAGGGCTGCTGCCATTGTCATGAGAACTGTGAGGAACATTGTTGACACTGGAAGGACCATTGTGTGCACAATTCATCAGCCCAGCATAGACATCTTTGAAGCATTTGATGAGGTTTTTGAATTCCTCAACCCAAACAAACTTCTGTTGTTTCTTTGTGTAAACGCCATTTGATCATCCTCTTTTTTTTTCTTTTTATAAATTCTGTACCTTAGCTTTTGCTTATGAAACGAGGCGGGGAGCTCATCTATGGCGGTCCATTGGGCACTGATTCCCAAAAACTCATTCAGTATTTTGAGGTGAAACTCATAGTCCATTGGAGCATGTTTGGTTATCATCATGCCTTGTAAATAAAGAAAATGCTACTTTAACTCCAAGGTTGACACCATTCGTTGTGTATGAGATATTATTCTGTGATTCGCTGACAGTGTCAACCTTGGTGTCATCTGTGGTGTGGTTATAGCATGGTCCTATAAATAACTCCTTGATCATGATGATGTTTAAGCAGGCAATTGAAGGAGTTCCTAAAATTCGTGCCGGATACAACCCTGCAGCTTGGGTTCTTGAGGTCACTTCTCCAGCAGAGGAAAGCCGCCTTGGTTTGGACTTTGCAGACATTTATCATAAATCAAACCTGTTCCAGTATGTTCCTGGTCTCCCTCGCCCTAGTCTGCGCAAATACATGTAATATATTGCCGCTCATGTAGAAATGTAAATCCAGGGAAAATAAGGATATGGTGGAGAGATTAAGCAAACCAAACACAGCTTCAGCGGAACTAAACTTCCCAAGAAAATATTCCCAGTCATTTTCTGGCCAGTTTTGGGCATGTCTTTGGAAGCAGAACCTGTCCTACTGGCGAAACCCACAATACACCGCTGTTCGCTTCTTCTACACTGTCATCATCTCATTGATGTTTGGTTCCATATGCTGGAAATTCGGTTCCAAAAGGTCTAGTTTCGACAACTCAACCCTTCGTTTATTTGCCCGATTCACACTGAAGATTTTAGCTTTTGTTTTCTCATACTTTTTCCAACCGCAGGGACACTCAACAAGACATACTGAACGCCATGGGATCAATGTATGCAGCAGTTCTTTTCATTGGAATCACAAACGCCTCTTCGGTTCAGCCCGTGGTTTACACCGAAAGATTCGTTTCATACAGAGAGAGAGCTGCAGGAATGTATTCTGCTCTACCATTTGCTTTTGCACAGGTACAGAGAGTTGACTCTTGAAAGGGTCTTTTGTGAAAAAATCTAACTAAAAAAGGGATAAATCTGTAATTGCTTTCGCAGGTTACGGTTGAGTTCCCTTATGTGTTCATACAGACACTCATCTACAGCTCCATATTCTACTCGATGGCGTCTTTCGAGTGGAGTGTTTGGAAGTTTATTTGGTACATATGTTTCATGTTCCTCACCTTACTATACTTCACTTTGTTTGGGATGATGACTACGGCTGTCACTCCAAACCACAACGTCGCAGCCATAGTTGCTGCGCCGTTCTATATGATGTGGAACCTTTTCAGCGGCTTCATGATTTCTCGCATGGTATGGCATATTGCCCATTTGGTTCCTATTTTGGTTGAAACTTGAAATGAAGATAGACAGACAAGACATATTCTCATCAAATGACATAAATAATGGATAAGAATTTGTGGTTTAATTTGGCACTGCAGAGAATCCCAATATGGTGGAGATGGTACTACTGGGCGAATCCGGTTGCGTGGAGTCTGTATGGGCTTTTGACATCTCAGTATGGAGATGTGAGTGAGCATGTAAAACTAGCAGACGGCGTCAATTCTGTGCCAATCAAACAGTTTCTCAGGCAACAGTTTGGGTTCAGGCATGAGTTCCTCGGCGTTGCCATTATAGCCGTGGCTGGTTTCTGCCTGGTTTTTGCCCTCACTTTCGGTTTTGCTATCAAATACTTCAACTTCCAGAGAAGGTGACCCAAAGGTGGCTACTTAGCTCGAAGCAAACCAAACAAGGTAACATCAAAACCAAACACGCCCTTAGCTTTCTCGATCTGCACTACCATTGGTTTCGTAATGCATTTTTATGACCCACTATCATTGGATTCGAGTCGACCCATGCGGTTATGAGCGTTTATATTAAGAATATTGATACTACCACTTGTATTTTGCATTAGAATGTAATAAAATATAAAAAAATATATATTAGAGAATACTGGTACTAGCACTTATATTTCTCTTTGATCTTCCTTTTAATTTTTTTTTCAGTTTATCAAAGAGAGAAATAGAGGAACAACAACTTTGTCATTGTTGCAGATTAATAATGGTGCAACATCTATAGAAATAGGGTACATATATATGTGTTTGTATCTACTTAAAAATGTATTTATTTATGCTACAGAATGAATTATTTGGTTGGATTTACTTGGTATATATTGTAGTATACTCCGTATTTCTTATATAAACGTCACAATTGGAAGATAAATAATACGGAGTACTATAAAAATGATGTTGAGGTTAGAATTTCAGCATCTAAATTATTAGAATGTTGGGGGGACCCCACTTGGTGTACACTAATTATACACTAAGGCAAAAATACACACCGTGGATACCGAGTAAAGTTCCCTAAGTATTTTCCAAATTATTACTTCATCCATCTTAAAACTTTCTTCCCAAACATTATTCATATGGTTAAATTTTTATCGTTTTCTTTACCTATTTTTGTTAGTTATTTGATAAAATAATATAGTCATGTCACCTCTTATTTTTGTAGAACTTTCTATATGGTTTTTAAGTATATAATTTTTATTTTATAATATTACGCCTATAATTAAATATAATATCATTGAAAATAATTTCAGTCAAACTCGTAAACCGAATTGAGAAAAAAAATTCAGTCCGGATGGAGTAATAAAAAACTATTCCGTAAAACAGTAGCTACTTTCAAACTTCATCAAGTGAATAAATTAATACGGATTATAGCAAAATAAGTTAGATTATCTCGAAAAAATAAATGAGAAAGAATTGGATTCTTTGCCTAGATTTGATAGGGTTGGACAAAGATTTGAAGCAAAGGGGTGGAAAAGACAGGAAATATAACAGTATGAAATGGGAGGGTGATGGTGAGTGGTATTACATTGTCTTGAAGACAAAAAAAAGGGAGAATCTATTGCCAAGAAAATGACCACTACTTACACAAAACTCCAAATAGGGGATAATGACTAATGGGGTAATGTGTAGGGCCGGTAGGCCTGTTGATGAGTCGGGTTTGAATTTGATTTCCGGCTGAGTCTGTAAATTATTTTGCAAATACATGGTAAAGTTAATTCCGTTCACTCGACTTGAGTTCAGGCTCGTATATATTAAAGTTTTTTCAATGGGCCTAGGTATAGTCGTATAGAATACACTTTTTCAGATTCGACTAGACCTGATTCTGAATAAATAAATAATGATTTTGAATTTTTTAGTGAGATTATGAAAATAAAGAATGCATTTACATTTTGAAGTGTTTAATTTGAATTTTCTTTAGGTGAAATTTTAGCCCGGCCTAGTAGTATGTAGCGGTTATGTTGGTGTTGGGTGACGATGAAGATTGTAGTGGTGAGGGGCTGAGGGCAGGTGGTGGGGCACGATGGTGATTGTTGGTAGTGACAGATGCCCATCCTCGACGAGTTGTGGTGGACATCAACAATGGTTTCTTATCGACGGTGATGGTGGCAGTATTTTGCTACAACTTGGCCATCGAGACTATAATAGTGGTAACCGCCAACATCGGTGGGGTGCGTTGTTGTCGACTGCCGTGATGGTGGGCGGCCGATAGTGGTTGTGGTTGTTGGCAACAACGAGTAGTCGTCGGTAACGACATTAGTTGTGACATGTAGCGACAATGTTTGGCCAATGGTGACTTATGACAGTGGTGGTTGTTATTGCTCTTACAACGATGGTGATCTCATAGAAGAAGAAGATATCAAAATGCCTCGCATTGAATTATCCTAAATTTAGCATGGAATATATATTAAAATACTCCCCATTGTTGTTGTTTATTTTTTCATTGACTATTTGACCAAATAAAATATTTTTATTACATTTTGTTTTGTAGAACTTTTAATATACTTTTTAAATATCTAAAAATAATTTTTATGTATATATCAATCTTTAAATAAAATGAATTAAAATCCGTAGATTTTACTTTATTTCGTGTAAATTGTAAATCATTTAAGGATGGAGCGAGTATTTTCTACTCTCACAAGAAGGGGTGGATGAAGTATTGAGGAATTGGGGGCCAATGCTCCCTACTAAAAAAAGTTCATGTATATGGTCCCCCAACCAAAATTAAGGAATCTTGATTTAATGAGGCCAATTTTTAGTTTTTTATTAAAATTTTTGTACAATGTATTTTATTGCATATAGTTAATTATCTATAAAATAAAATTTTACATTCAACTAATATTTTAATAACATTTATTATTATTTTATCATTTCATATTACCTATTTAATACTCCCTCTGTCTGAGAGTATTCGTCTAGTTTTGACTTTTGGAACTGTTAAGCCTAAATATAGTCATGTGTGATCTTGTTTGATTTGTCTTAACATATAAATTATTAATATATAATTTTTATAATTTTTTAATATACAAATTACAAGATAAAATGGATTAAAGAAGTGTATTGGATGATGTGTAAAAATGAAAGTGGACAAATACTCTGGGACGGAGATAGTACATGTTTCGAAGGCAGTGCGCCGAATCCTCGATCACTTGAGCCCCTAACTATCAAAATTTCAAGATCCGTCACTACTCACCAAACAAGCCCAAAGAAAATAAAATTGTTAGTTGTTGATAACAATATTTTCTTTTAATTTGTAGAATATATATACATATAGTCATATATGACTTGTGTGTAGAAAAACATACATAAAGAAAAACAATTTGACCCATACATAATGTTTGTGAGTTGTGACACCCATAGGATATCACGTTGTATTTTTTAAAAAGTTACCCTGTTGAATTGTTCTCATTCCGTGTTATAAGGTTTAACTAAAGTTTTTTTTATTTTGATATATTTGATTTTAAGTGTAAAGATTAAAAAAGATTTATATATTTAAAATTTGCATAAAGTATATCAAGATCAATTTTTACAAGAATAGAGAAATGTACTCCTAAATAAGAATATCTTTTGAAATGGGAGAGACTAAAAACTCTCAACGGAGATTCCATGGAAGGAGCTAGCAGAGTGTGAAATCATCATTACGTTGGTGCAAGTAAAATGAAAAATCACGTGAATTGTGAAATATTCCGCGGGTAGTCGACAAAGTTGTCTTAAAACAGCAAATCAAACCCTCTGTCAAATATAATCATCTTTTCTGAAAATCGTGCACCCTTTTCTTTAATCTCTCTCTCTCTTGTGCCAAAGACTCTACCTTTTAGGCTTTAGCTTTCTTTTCTCGTGCACCCACTATGTTAGCTACTGGCCTGAGCTCACCCTCATCAATTAAGGGAAATGAATCTTGATTTTTACTGGTTTTTTTTTTTTGAAGCAAGAAATATGGATTCTTTCTTGATTGTTGTCTAGCTGAGTCTCTGCATCTTCCATGGCTTCTCAGCCCAACAGCAATGCTAATCTTCTCAAGGTTCCTTCTAATGCTGCTGCTGCTGCTGAGGATTCGAAGGGCAATACCGTCTTTCATGATTTCTTGGGCAAAGGGTGTGCCCCAGATTCGTCGTCTCCGGCCGCCGCCGCGAGGCCGCCCCTCTTTGAGCCCTACCCGGTGGCCTCTTCCGCCTCTCTAGGCGCCTCCTCCTGTGGCCCTGTGTCCAACACTTCAGATATGTGTTCTGGTTAGTACAGTCTTGCTTCTGCTTAAATCGTTAATTAATTCATTAACTCTTTTATTCATTCATTCACTCATTCACTGTGCTGATGTAAGTGAAATTACTCAGTTTGCTCAAACATTAATTTGCAAAATTTCTCAACTTTTTTGTTTCTTTATAAAGCTTTTAATTTATACTTGTAGCAATTTAATTAGCATGGTTATACTGTAGCTTGTAATGAGGATTCTTCTGTTAGGCAGTTTTCAAGAAGGACTAGAGCTCCTAATTGGGCTTGTGATTTGTAGAGCCTAGCCGGGCTCTCTTGAAAACAGTCTCTCTACTTCCTACTTCCAAGTAGGGGTAAAGTTTGCACACGCGTATCCTCCCCACACACTACATGGATTACATTATGATTCAATCTTTGGAATAAATGTTCTAAAAGGAAATGTGTGTGGCTAAAGAGGCAGTTTTTACAGGGCCACAGACAAGTTATCCGTTTTCGGGCAGCAAGAGATGCAATTCAGATTCCAATATGGTGTCTTGTAAAGATAGGTTTCCAGCTGCTCAACCCGATTCACATGTTATGAAGGTATGATTCATTTCCTTGTTTCTCCTTTACAAATTACAATGGAAGAAAAGAAAACAGTTTGATCACAATGACATATATGGTTAATGAAAACCCACATATACATACATCCCATATGGGCCTTTTGTAGTTAACCTTTATGCATTTTCATTCATTTTGTCCATTGATATAGAAATTTGACATTTTGCATTTTAATATCAGCCTTACATTTCCCGAACTACTAATCTCATATCCAGAGCCCCTTTGATTGAAATTGCTGACATTGCTTCATTACGAAAAAATTCAAATATACTCGTATTTATGAAAAAATAAAGAAAATCTAAATGAAAAAAAGGCAAAATGCTAGAGAGTATTGTTGAAAAAATTAGTGTTTGGTAAAAGAAATGCTCCGTATATATAGGCTGCTTAGCCAAGAACAAGTGGCTACTAAACGGCTACTTACTCTGATATGGGTAAGTTTTGTTGAAGTTCAGCTACTACGGAGTGGTGCAGGAGGGGAGAGATGCAGAGGGTCACCATACAATGAAGAATTGCCGCTAGGAGTGCATAATCCAATGAGGCCACTTTCGTCATCTCTCTCAATGGGTGGTGCTACTAGAGCTTATTCTACTACCACTACTTCCAAATGGGTCCCAGTCAATCCTGTTCCCGCTTTGCAGTACCCTCCGCACGCCGCCCAAGTTGCACCTTTTGGGTACCAAACACCTCCCAACAGGTTTAGTAGAGATGCCAACGCTGTCGCCGGTCCTTCCCTCATATCTCAAGCAGCTGCTGATGAAGGGTCAAGAACGGGAATCAAAGGGTCGGGTGTCCTTAGAATGTCGGATAGAGCGCTCTCTGGGGTCCCTTTAACTGCCCCTAAGCAAAACTTTGGGATCCAAAGCTCTGATCCTGCTGAATCCTCTAATCCTCGGTAAACTTACTAAAAAAATAGGAGTGTCCCTTTGGAAATTGGAAAAAATGCTAAGGGAATAGAGAAACGAAAATTTAGATGGAGAACAGATTTGAAAAAAAAAAGATAGACTCAAAATTGACAAATATATTTTAGAAAATTCCAAACTCATTTCTTTGTTTGTTACGGAGTACTAATATGTAAACATTAATATGGAGTAATTTTTTGTACAGATATGAAAAATTTCATTTACCATTGTATTTCTCAAGGTAAGACTACATGTAAAAAAATGAGTAGTTCTTAGGACTATTTCTCTTTCCTTGGCATTTCCATGATCCAGACACAGCCTAAAGGAATGCGAGCTATTCCTTTGAAGTTTCTATCACTGATATGATCATCTCATGTGCTACTATATAGAGACATGGATAAAAATGACAAACACTTTGGCATTTGTTTCATGGCAGCAGACACGGAGTGGGATCTACTGGACGACAGATGACTATTTTTTACAATGGTCAAGCTCATGTTTTTGATGATGTTCATCCCAGCAAGGTTTGTCTTTTGCTTATTTAATAAATGGTCACATATTTGCTTCTTGGATTGAAGTCTTTAGATTTATACAATTATACATAAATATAAAGCACATTCTCTTTCAGATTTAATGAACAGCAATGAAAAGTTTTGATTTTGGCAAGTACCATGTGATAAAATCATGAAATATCTACTTATATTTATCAAAATTTATATGTTGGTTCATAAATATTTATCATCTTGACAAATGTATGGATTTTCAGCGAACTAATAATATTGTTCTTAGCATGCCAATTTAGGTAAGCTATACTCCCTCCGTCTCTGTTATTTTCCTTTTTTGGATGTCCCTAATTAATCTTTCCATTCCCTCAATCCCTCTTAGAGAAAGAACTTTTTAGTTCACATTAATTCTCTCTCCTCTGCACAAAACTCAACTATACACCTGTACCTCCCTTAAGCTCATCGTAAAAAGCAAATGAGAAGTTTACTGGGTTTGGTGTTGTGTTCTTGATTCTCTAATCTTTATGATCTTTTCCTCGATTTGTTTTCTTTAGTTATGTTTGTTTTTACGGGCTGGGAAATGTCGTCTAGTTGTGAATGGCAAAACTGGAGAAAGCAACAGTTATACCCTTCACAACTAAACAACATTTCCTCGTCCTCCAAAGCCGGATATATCCACAAGTAGTTACTTAGCATTTGCAATGGATCTTACAATTTAAACTACGCATACTCTCTTGTGATTTGGTCAAATTACGGGTTGATCCTTAAGTTTCCAAAAATTACACATTTGCACTTTGCCTGGTATTTTATTTGGTAAAAGGTCCTCTTAGCACAGAAAAATACTATGGAGTAGGATATGTAATTAATACTAGGATTAACAAGGATCTTGTCATCCTATCTATCTATCTATATATCTATGTATGTATGTATCAGGCAGATCTAATAATGGCGTTAGCGGGGTCCAACGGAGGGTCATGGTCCACAACCTACTCTCCAAAATCCACTCCACCCAACGAGGGCGAAATGGGAAGTGGCTCGTCTGCTCTTCTAAGAGAATTGCAAGGGAGGTCGTCGTCATCGTTGAGATTATTGAACTCCAACCGTCCGTTTGGGTCCAGCGACCAATCGTTTCTTCCCCCAGGTTTACGCCGATCATTAGTACTTGTTGTTTAAAGGCATTCGTTCGTTCATATTCAGTCGACGTGTGATAAGATAAATGTGGGAATGTTTTTTCTGAATTGGTGTGTAGGCCATCATAATCATCATCATCTTCATCAACATTATAAAGGTGGTGGGAAAAGCAAGGAGAGCAGAAGTGGATATCAAGTAGGAGGAGAAGGTGTTGTTCTTCATGGAGAAAAGAATGTGGAATGATGATAGATTATATATTTATATATGGGATGTAAATTTTTTATTTTACCATTGGGAAGAAGTCCATTTGGTTGGTTGTTGGCATCTTTTTTCAACAGGGACTTATTAGTCATTTTCCTTTATTAATTAATCCAATTATCATTTCCTTCCTTTTTTTACCCCTCCAACTCTACTGCTCTTTTTCAAAATTAGTATTAGGATTAGGATTAGTATTAGTATTAAGATTAGTATTACTCTCCGTAATGAAAGTGAATGAAATTTCACTCTAAGAATAGTAAATAGGAAATTTAATTTGGGACGGAGGCAGTAATTTGTAAGGAAAAGTTTATGTAGTCTAAAATATTTTTTTTTCTATTTTAAACAAATCATAACCACTCAATTTTAATTTATTCAACATTTTTTTAATTTCTTTAAATCTTTGTGCATTTAAAAGTGATCAACTTAATTTGAGATGGAAGAAAGTGTAGTTACGTTTTTACTGTGCAGCCCTTCAAGGCTTCAAACGTTGATATACCTCATTGGCTCATTCCCCATACTTTTTAATAAGAATAATTTAGCACCATTATTCATCAAATTTAAAAATAAAGAAATACTTCCCTCAACCTTTTCACTTACATCTTTTACTTATTCTAAAACATATGGAGTATCTTACTTTGGGCTAAATGAACCTAAATAACATTATTTTTTCTTAATACGGTGAATGAATTAACCTACCCAATACTCTACATACTCTCTCTGCCGGTGAGGCATAGCTCAACGGTTGGCAAATGGGTGCTATACGGGAGAGCTTTCGTGTTCGAAGCCTGGTGGTTGCGATGAGAGGCAATCATGCAAAGCATGAGGCTTCTGCTAGTACCAGACACGAAACTCCACCCTTACGCCAACTAACTGAGATTATAACTTAATTTACCTCTTCTCAGCTAACTATTTGGCCGGTGCTGGAATGAGGTATCATCCTTTTTTCCTACACGCTCTCCCCATTTTGATTTTTCCCGTACTGTATTCATTTCAATTGTTACTGTTTCATCTTAGTCAAACTTTTATAACTTCTCATCCCAAAAATTAAAATTGAAAAAAATTTGTGTAACAGAAGGAATATAATAATTGAAAAGTTCTTTTTCACCCCAACTTCAATTTACAGCTAGCATTATAATTACCGTCATTTGATGACTATTTGACTTTAATCCCACACGTACAATTCAATATTGCAATGATGCATGATTAGTGGTGAGTGGTTCTTTAAGCGTCATTTAGCGCTAAATTAATTTGTTTTATTCACATCTTTAATTTGCATGCTTTCACTTAAGTCAAACATGAGAGGGATAAGTTTTTTTAAAAAAGGTGAATTATCATGTGAATCATCGTAACTGATTACCCCTCCATCCTTAAATAAATTTTTATTTACAAACATTTACCCGGAGTATTACTTATCCCAAAAAGTATTTTCATTTTTCATTAAAACGTTGAGAGAACTCTCTAGATAAGAATGAAAAACAATGAAATACCAAAATAGAAATATTAAAATTTTTAAGACCAAAATAAAAATTCACACAATCATTGTTACATAATTACATTGTCACACTCACCGTATTGTCACTACCATCCGTCATCATTGGACATTGGCCACTAGAGTGCCGCCCCCGATCACTGCGTTGAAACACAGTGATTTTCAAATTATGTAATTTTATTTGATTGAGAATTATGGAATGAATGAAGAACTATTTTGTCTCTCTCTCTCTCCCTCTACATATCTACTCTCTCCGTCCCACAAAACATTATACATTTTGATTTATTTTTGGTCAAACAGTTGCACGCTTTGACCACAAAATTAAATATAATCTAAATAAAGAAATGTTATAAGAATTTGACTAAGATGAATACAATTATATTAAATTTAGATTATAATTCAATATACTTTTCTCACAATTTGTAGTCAAAGTGTGTAATGTTTTGACCAGATGCTATTCAAAATGAGTAATGTTTTTTGGTGCAGGGTGAGTACATAGCTTCTCTCTTTTTCTAGGCGAATTGATTAAAATTCAATTGGAACATACATATCATTGCAATGGTCTATAATGTTGTTACACCTTTTGTGGGATAATGCATTTTCTTAAATATATTCTCTCTATTTTAAAAAACACTTCATCTTTCATTTATAAAACCACTTTTATCTTTACTTTTCATACCACAAACCCTATCACATCATATTTTTTCTTAAATAATCTATCCATCACATCAAGAGTAAAATTGTAAGTTGACCCATCTAAACTATGAACTCTTTTTGAGAACAGGAGTATATGGCACACATCGAGTACACAAATTTTTTTTGTATGTAAAAAACAGTCAAGATCATTTTGGTTTGATCCATTACGATACGATTTGATCATTTTGGTGAGATCATTATGTCGGAGTAAAATTTAGTGTGTGACAAAATAAATATGTATCAAACTAAAGTATCAACTATCAACCAATATATAATAAACAAACTTCATGCAAGTTTTTGATTAACGATGATATTTTTCATAAAATTTTAACAATATATATTCATTTTGATAACATTATAATTTATTACTAAATGCAGTTATTATATAGTCTTTGCAAAACATTGCTAAAGAGTAACACACCCTTAATTATTAAGTCTGATAAAATCAAGCGCCTCGTCGAGATGCAAAGCCTTCAAGTTCAAGAACTCTTTCACCCCGACCGACCGGTACACCGCCGGAGCTCCGTCGTCGGGAGAAACAACCGGAGTCACAACGGACTCAACCGGCGGCCCATAGAAACACGCCATGGAAACCCTCTGATTGGTATCGCTCATCACAACAACGCGATGACGGGCCGTCCGGAACTTGCCGTTGGAGAGGACGTGAAGGAGGTCGCCGACGTTGACGGTCAGGGCGCCGGGGACATGGTCCACGGCGCTCCACCGGAGTCCGGCGGGGTCGAAGAGCTGGAGCCCCGGGCTGCTCTGGTGGAGGATGGTGAGGAAGAGAGTGTCCGTGTGTGGGGCCAAGCCTATTGTCTGGGACGGAGATGGGCACGGCGGGTATGAGTTTAGCTGAAGTGCGCCGTCGAATTCCACGGCGGCCGCCGCCGCCGGAGAAGAAAGGGAGATGTAGTTGAGGAGGAGTTGAAAGAGGTTGTGAGCCAGGGCTTTGACCTTCTCTTGATATTTCTCCATGACGCCACTGCAAATTTATTCACAAATTCATTAAATTAAATAATACGTTTAACAAATAGGGAGTAAAATTTTCATGATATCTCAATAAAGTAAATTAACACGATATTATTTTTTCCAAATAAGAAAAATGAATATGCGAAGAGTAACATTTACGGAGTATACATAAACATAATTGAGATAAGAAATAAGAATATATAGACGAATTCTTATAGGATGTAAGTAGTATATAGGTATATAATTTTTATTTTCAAATATCACACCAATTTTTATATAAAATAAATATAAAATAATTTCAGTCAAAAGTAATAACATTAGGGAAAAAAATTATGGACGGAGAGCATTTGTTAATTTGTTTATACTTTCTCTATCTAGTGAATCTCATGGAATTAATGACCTAATTAAAGAAAGAGATAGAATTTGACTCATATTATCCATGAGAATTAATGACCTAATTAAAGAAGGAGATAGAATTTGACTCATATTACGCATGAGGGAGAGGTACACACATACTCCCTCTCTCTTAAAATATGTCCCACATTTGCTTTGTCAAATGTCACTGAAACTTTAATTTATTTGTACGTTTTCCTTGATTATTTGATAAAATAAAATATTCTTAACACTTTTTATTTTGAAAAATTTCGAATTAGTCTTTAAATATGTAAACTTTATTTTTTATTTTATTTTGACTCGTTTTTTGAAATGTGCTAAACATTTAGGGACGATGAAGTACATACATACCAAAAGTGTTGGTAGTCATCCGGCCAAAGTAGTCTAGCATGAGAAGCGGGTGAGCCCATAATGGTAAACCCCTCATGCCACATAAGCTGGGCGAAAAAGGGCGAAATCCGGGCGACCCCGTACCCGGTGGCCCCCTCCGGGGTCCTCAGGGCCCGGTTCTTGACCGGGGCCGGGAGGGCGAAGAGGCGGGTCGCCTCAGACACCACCTCGTCGAGCAGCGACGAGGGGACGCCGTGGTTGACCACCTGGAACATCCCCCGCGCCTCGCACGCCCGCCCGATGTGGTCCCCCGCGGCGGGGTCCAGTAGGTCAATCACGGGTACTATCGATGATGTGTGTTCATCGTGATCATGGGTTTGGTGGGGCCATAGATGGGAGGTGGGGACTTGGCGGATGGCTTGAAAGTCCAAAGGGATAATGTGTTGGGGATCAATGGGTGGGTGTTCTTTGTATGCTTCTGAGAGTGTTGCCATGGCGGCGGCGCCCTTCATCGTCGTCGTCATTATATTATATTATATCTTCTACTGATTAATTATATTAGTCTTTGATTTGATATGTTTTAACTTAATTACTCTGCGTGTCTGTGTATATATAGTTGGGAGAGAAGACGCTTAGTTTGGAAAAATAGTAAAAGAGGCGCCGATTAGATTAAACCAAATTTAACAAAAAAAGGATAATTAATGGAGACAATTCTACCAACTAGCCATTTTAGACTTTTTGAAATGCATGCCGTATAGGCTGTGATTATATTTGATGATCCATCGCGACTCTTTATACTATTTCACACTTTCATTGCCAATTAAACCTTTTTTTTTTACTCGTAGTTTTTATGCATCATGTTTGACGCCATCTATGACGTACGTTATTCATTTGTCAATGTAGGACTTAAATTTTTTATTCTCTAAATACTACGGAGTACTTAATAATGTCTAGTAGGAGAAATAATATTTAATGATGGTGGACATTTACTTAAATAATGATTAATGGATAATGACTAATGGTTCTACATTAGGAAATAAAAACATATAATCCTATATCGTGAAAATCATTATGTTTTAGTCCCAGGTAAATTCCCCATAATATATTCATCAAATTTATTTTCTTCATCCTCCAATAAATTTTTTGTGTTTGATTTTTATGGAGTTCAAAAAAATGTTGAAAAACAAATATGGTTAGAATTTGGTGGGTGGAGACGTTCACAAAAAAGAAAGAAGGAATACTCTATCTGTCTCAAAAAAAGACTCCTCGTTTCTTCAGAATATCCCAAAAAAGACTCATCTTTCCATTTATGACAAATTTTGTGTGGTTTAACATATTTCTCTCTTTTTTGCATCACTTTCAACCATACAGTTTCACTTTTCTTAAACTTTGTTTCGAACCCAATTGGGAGATTTTTTTTGGAAGAGAGAGAGTGTTTTTCTGTAACAAAAAGAGTATTTTATGCAAAGAGAAAAAAAAAATTAAAATGAAAAGTATGTGAAATACTCTGTTCATAATTATCTTCTTACTTTACTCTACATCTGCACCCACTCATTTTACTTTATTAAAAATTATGTTAAGTTAGATTAAGATGAAAAATTACAAGAGGGATGAAGTATTTATTAAAGTCCTTACTATATGTACATTGAAAGAAGCAAATCTTATATACTTACTCGTTCCAAAAGTGAATGAACCAAATACTATTCACATAGCTAAATTATATTCACTTTATTTATTTTCACTATTTGTTTGTTAATAGATAATAGTCTTGTCGCCTACGTTTTTGATGAACATCTTATGTATGAATTCATTTTTAAATTTTACATTCACAGTTATAAGCATGTTGTCGTTCTTTCACGCCGTTAAAAGAACGATAACATGCATGCAAGTGAATTTGATCAATAGGCAATTAAGTTAATTTAATCCCCCTATGATGAATGAGAATTGACACCTAATTAGCTAAGGAACCATATACTCCATATGTCTCATACATATGTTCCATGTGATATCTATACAACCATATAGTAAACAAGTTATATCTGCCAATACTATAAATTCTTCAAAATATCACACAGATGAAATTAGAATCCTGTTTTGGACTCAGTACAGAAGAGTTCAAATAATTTGGGGTGAAGATACAACAAGTGGGTCAAAGAAGAACAAAAGCAAAAGACGGAAATGCCCCCTGTAATTTTTTTTTTGTTTACTTCCAAAGCTTAATGATCTTGTCGTGGCTGGCTGAAGCGACCAGACCCGCCACCGTGGATACAGCCAACGAAGCTATTAATCCTTCGTGTGCGGGGAGTGTCACCGTTTTGTTCTCCGTCATGTTCCATAGCTCCAGAGACTGCAACAAAAAGAGGGAAATTTGGAAATCGCATTGCAAAGGGTCTCTTGTTCTTCTTATATATGCGCAGAATTCCAACCAAAACCACTGAAAGAGAGGCTTGTGAAGAATAACACTTGCCTGATAACAGCCAAGAATTAGCCATGGCGAGTAGGAAGGATGGAATGCACAAGAGTGGAAATATTTGTTGCCCTTACAGCGCAGTTCTTGCACACAATTCCCTTCGCTTCCCGAACCGATCATCCACACTCGGACCAAGTCCTCGCTAACTGTAGCGAGGAAATCCCCCGACGGGTCCCAACACACATGGTGAATAGGTTTCTTATGACCCTGCCCAATGGACCCAATAGAGAAGTGAATAACTGAATGATGACACTCATGAACAATCTATGCCCTATAATTATCTTCTTGTATGAGACAGCCGCGGTTTTAAACAAAGTAGGACTTTTGTGATTGTGGTTTGTGTTAAGGAAAGATATATAATGTAGACCACATAATCTTTTCCTCTAAAAAGGTGAAAGAAATGGAAGCACGGGTCGTAAGTGCTCACATTTAATCTCTTCCTGCAAGTTTGTGTTTCCACGTCAAAAATGTTCACAGTATTCTCAGCAGCGGCTGCAAGAAACGTGCCTAGACGAGGCTGAAATCTCACCTGTGCAAACCCGCCCTGTTCCAGATGACAAAATAATAGTCATGATGTCAAATAATAAACATTCTTCTGTCTTTTTATGAATCGATGACAAGCGGGATTTCCCACTTTTGGTCTGTGACTTTCATTTTGTCCACTTTAAGCACAAAACTTTGGAATCGAGAAATAATTTCCTCACTAATTTTTCTACTAACCAAACAAGATTAAGATTTTTGGTTTCTTGGACTTTCATTCCCTTAGCATTTTTTTCCCTTCTTCTGTAATTCCTTGAACCAAACTTTCTGATTATAACATGATGTTAAAACACAATGATGCACCTTCATTGCCAGCGTGCAGCAGCCATTTTTTATGCTCCAATACCTGATCTCTGAATTGCCGTCACAGGAACAGATCAGATCTTCTTTGTTGGGATGGAAATCAACTGACATCATGCTAGCAGAAGGCACCGTAAATATCCTAAGTGAGTTTCCAGGCTAAAAATGCAAAGACAGGTCCGATTAGAAAAGAGTGTTGAAGAAAATAAGAACCCATGAACAGAAGCTTCTCGCAAAGGCAACATCCCTCCACATTTGGTTATTTCCCCTTAATTTTAGGTTCATATAAAATTATTTTTTGACACTCATGATGGTCATTTACAATATTTTGTTTTTAGTTCCTTTACGTCAATCTATATTTGATATAACAACAACAATAATAATAATAATTATAAACTAATAATAATAATAATAACTTGCACTAGTGAATTTAGATATTTATAGAGGAGCCTACAAAACATAAATCAGCCTACAAAAGAAAAAGAAATCATGTGTGCAATAAGGTTTATGACCTTGTGGCAAAAAAAACTCCCCCGCCACATAAAAAAACTCTTGTTTCTTCATTCTTGACATATTATTGTCCCAAAAGAAAGAGTATTCAAGAAAAGAGTATCTGTCCCAAAAGAAAGAGTAATTTTAGCTTACATTGTCGACATCCCAAACTCTAACAGTCATGTCAAAAGAAGAAGTTGCAAAGTGGCCCATGCTTGGACTAAAGCGTACATCAGTTATAAGTGACGAATGCTCTTCAAATGTTGTTTTTGGCGTTAAGGTATCAGTATGCCACAAAACAGCCTGCATGACCAAACGATCAAATCAACATTTGTTAGGAACAACAATTGAAGTTGTAAACAAACTAGAAACTTCAATAGCTCTCAATCTGGGGAAGAATGTTTTTCACCTTTTTGTCATGCCCACCACTCACAAGCAGTTTTCCATCTGGCGAGATGTCGCAGCAGACAATTCTGCTCACACTTGCACGAACAGAGTTTACTTCCGTAAGTGTGAACCCTAAACATTACAATTTGTTCACATCAGACTCATTGCAATGCATAAACTAGTCCAAAGTCGAAAACCAACAAAAACAAAACCAGTTGAATCCCACAAAAATAGGGTCTTAACAGTTAGGAGGGAGTGTGCATAGAGACCTTACCCCTACTATGAAGTAGATGAGCTGTTTCTAATAGATCCCCAAGGCCCGGCTAATATAAACTGGTCTATATTAATAATATTAATTACTTAATACAGAGTATGCTCTTATGAAATTTTGAATTTTCGGATGATTTATTAACTTCTATAAGAGGCTTTAGTTTTGAAAAGATGTGTATCCTGCAACATCAGTCTTGGAGGTCATATTTGTTCCGGTGCACTAAGTGCCAACTAGTCCGTTTCCCCTCTGTTTTTCATGAAAAAAACCATGACGTGAAAACTCACAGTAGAGTTAGGTGGAAGGAAGGGGACTAAAAAGAAAAGAGCACAAGTACTTGGAAGAATAACAAAAACCCAATTTACATAGACTTACAAGAACATACATTATATTTACAGGGGCAAAAAACATGATTAAGCATGAAAGGAAGTAGAAAGCAATGAAGATATAGTACTAGAAGCAGGGTCACCTTTACTGAAATCCATACCGAGGCCGACTGTACCTATCAGGTCAGCACCATCAGAAGATAAAAAAGATTCAACATTTTCATCAAGAGAACCATCATCCACAAGGCGACCCATATCGGCCTGCACAAGGCCTTTTCTATCCCACTGCCAAAATAAAATACAGACAGTGCACTAAGGCTTTTTGTTTGGAATGTGGAAAACATTATTGGTTCTACTTCAGAAAATACAACAAGGAACATATGAGACATGATTCCTTGCAAATTTTATGCTAGCCAACTTAAGGTACATTGGGTTTTAATTCTCATTCATCATAGGGAATAAATAAACCTAACTATCTATTGGTCAAAATTCAGTTGCATGCAAGGGAGGAGTCAGGGGAAAGGTTTCATTTGGGAAAATGAGAAGAAAAGAAAAACCAATAAGAATTCAAATCAAAATTCCCCCCAATAAAAGTCTGTTTCTTTCCTCTTTCTCCCATTATGGTTTTTTGAAACCTTGAAATAGGGCAGCAAAGATCACGTTAGGAATCTGAATCAAAAACTAAAGATTCTAAATTCTGCCCACTAATTGCATCCAAATTAACTATCCAAAAAATCGGCTCCAGGGAAAAAAGAATGATCCAGAAATGAAATATTACTTCCAAACTTCGAATCAGGTCTAAAAGATCCAATTTGAAACAAAAAAAAACAAGATTTTCGTGGCTTAGAGCACTTCAGTAGAACAGAAAAAAAGTGAGAAGACTTAGAACCCTTCTAAAATTGGAACGGAAATGGATTTTGTTCGGATTGTTTCACGACCTTTGGCTCCTCGAGATGTGAGTGACTTTGAGCAAACGAATCGGATGTTTGGGTTTCTGGTAGTCTGGTTCCGCTTGAATCCATGGTATTAAGGCGGGGTCTAAAAGAATAAGAGGTAAGGGAGAAGACGAGAGGGATGAAATGGTAGAAATTGAACGGAGAAAGATATTGTGAGAGCAAAGGGAAGTGGCTTGTTTGTACGTTCCTCCAAACCAAGCGTGTCATCCTCCCCTATTTCTTTTTTTAATTTTTATTTGTTTAGATAGAGATTTCTAACAGTATATCATTATATAAATAAATAAATATATACATCTAAATTGGACAACGGGACGGAACAGGAAAATATTTATGTATCCTGGTTTTGTCCCAATTTAAAACGGTTCGGAAGGATTTAGAACAAAATTCTGTCATCCCTAACGAAACAGAATATTATAGAGACGAGACCGAGATATTTTAGGTCGGAAAACAGTTTCAAGATTCTTGCCCACCCCTACTCAACATTGCCCATAGAATAAAGAACAAAGGATTGGGTAACTCCTCCCAAAGAATTTTTCAAAGGAAAAGGTTATACCCTGTAAACTTAATCTTGATGACAATAAATTTGTCCCAACTATATGCAAGAACTTCATGCTTAATCTCAAAAGAGTAATGTTAGGAACAGGACACCACAAATACCACCATACATTCTTTATGCAATATTTTTATCAACACTTCAAGTGTATGGTGAAGAGGGTTTGGGGTACACTTTTTCGTGTATCCCCAACATTTTTTTTTCTCAGAATTCAAACATAGGTAACGTCTTTTCTATTTAAAAAAAAACATAGGTCAATCCTTTGCAAAATGCTATTTTGACCCAAATTTTTAACCCCTCTCTTACAAACATTCAATGTTTGGATCAGATGAGTTACACCACAGGGACCCCAAAAATAACTATTTGTCTAATAAGGAAGAAATCATGTCTCATATGGTCCATGTGGTATATATAAAATCATATAGTGAACATGTTACACCAATACTACAGAGTTTTCAAATATCACAGATGAAATTAATTTTCGTTTTGGTCCCAGTACAGAAGTGTTCAAGTTACACTGAAAAAACAAAAACAAATCTAACAGTAAACACAAGACATACAATACAGATCAAAGATGAAAACACTGTCTAATAAATATAGTTTGGGGGTGAAGATACAACAAGTGGGTCAAAGAACAAAAGCAGAAGACGGAAATGCCCCCTGCATATATTTTTTTGTTTTACTTCCAAAGCTTAATGATCTTGTCGTGGCTGGCTGAAGCGACCAGACCCGCCGCTGTGGATACAGCCAACGAAGCTATTAATCCTTCGTGTGCTGGGAGTGTCATTGTTTTGTTCTCTGTCATGTTCCATAGCTCCAGAGACTGCAACAAACGCCACCAAATGAGAGCGGGGAAATGAGAAGCTAAGTCACATTGTATAAGCATCTTGTTCATTTGTGCAGAATTCCAACCAAAACCAATTTTGGCCATGAGAGCAATAACTCGTACTCTTTGGTCCTTTTTTTACTCATTGTCACTTACTAGCGCTAATACCATGTTGGTCATGGGAGGAGTAACTCGCATTCTTAAATACTCCTAGTTTTTTTTACCTCTAAGTTTACTATGTTGGACAATTTGTATAGGGTCGTAGAATAATCCAACATGGCACATGAAGAATATATACCTAGAGTAGAAAGGCTGTACTATTCTACAAGTGTATAAATATGTAATAGAGAGTTTATGAATGATAACACTTGCCTGGTAACAGCCAATAACAAGCAATGAGGAGTAGGAAGGATGAAAAACGCAAGAGTGGAACTTGTTGCCGTTTGAGCTGAGTTCATGCACACAATTCCCTTCGTTTCCCGAACCGAGCATCCACACTCGGACAGAGTCCTCGCTAACTGAAGCGAGGAGATCCCCTGATGGGTCCCAGCACACAGAGTGAATAGGTTTTGTATGGCCCTGCCCAATGGACCCAATAGATCAGTCATTAACTGAAGGATGCAACTCATACAAGAAGATGATTGTGTGGTTTGTGTAAAAAGGGAAAGAAAAATAATACAGACTGCGCAATCTTTTTTCCTTTATAAAGAAGGTGAAAGAAAAAGAGAGAGACGCGGCTGTTAAGAGCACACCTTTAATGTCTGCCTGCATGCTTGCGTTTCCACGTCAAGAATGGACACGACATTCTCAGCAGCCGCTGCAAGAAACCTGCCGAGACGAGGCTGAAATCTCACCTGTGCGGTCCCGCCCTGTTCCAGATGACGAAATAATAGTCATGATATCAAATAATAAACATTCTTCTGTCTGTTTATGCATTGATGATCCGAAAATTTCCCCACTTTTGGTCTGTGGCTTTCATTTTACCCACTTCTAGCAAACAACTTTGAATTCGTTGCTACTTTTTATCCGCCCTTCGACCACTTAATCCAGCTGATTTTTGCTAGAGAGAGTGACAAGAAACCTTTACACTATGTTTGGTTCAAGGAATTCAGAAAGGGAAAAGAAGAGAAAATACTAAGGAAATTCAAATCTGGTGTTTTGTTAGAGGGGAAAAGAAAAGAAAAATGTAAAGGGAAATGTGATTTTTCCTTCCATTTTTGCAAGGAAAGGCCAAAAGGGAGAGTAAACAGTAAACTCCTCCCACCCCGCCCTTCCTTCTTTTTGAATAATGTCTTCTTTCGCTTTTTTACAACCAAACAAAGAACTTGCTAAAATTAATTTCCTCACTAATTTCTCTACTCACCACAAACAAGATTAAGTTTTTTTTATTTCTTAGACTTTCTTTTCTTTTCCTTAGCATTTTCCTTTCTTCCATAATTCTTTGAACCAAACTTTCTAAATATAACATGATGTTAAAACACAATATTTGTCTTTAAAAAAATACAACATTGCACCTTGATTGCTCGCGTGCAGCTGCCATTGTTGATGCTCCAATACCTGATCTCACCATCCCCATCACAGGAACAAATCAGATCTTCTTTATTGGGATGGAAATCAAGTGACATCACGCTAGCAGAATGCCCCGTAAAATTCCTAAGCGAGTATCCAGGCTAAAAACACAAACACAATTCCAATTAGAAAACAGTGTTGAAGAAAGTAACTATGAAGAAATGCTTCTTGCAAAGCCCACATCCCTCTACATAGTCTTGATCCCCTAATTTTAGGTTCACATAAAATTATTTTTTTGACACTCATGGTTATTTACAAAAGTTTATTTTTAGTTCCTTTACACCAACATCTATTTAAAATAACAATAATAATAACTTGCAAAACTGAATAAAGATATTTATAATGGAACCTAAAGCAAACAAATGCCATATTTTTATGAACAAAAAACCATAATTCAGCCTACAAAGCAAAATGAAATCATGTGTGCAATTAGTTTTATGAACTCGTGGCAAAAATAAACAAGGCAAATACTTTCATGGTCTTCGGGTCCATTCCAATTATATGAACATTGTTGATGTGGACAATTTAGTATTAGGATTAAGATCATGATTAGGATTAGTATTAGGATTAGGATTAGAGGATTAGGATTAGGATTAGGATTAAGATAAGGGAATTCTGATTAGTATTATGATTGGGATTGGGATTGGGATTGAGATTAAGATTAGGATTAGGATTAAAATTAGGGGAAGATTAGGGGATTAGGATTAGGACTAAGATGAGGCACATTAGCTTGGGTTAAACGGGCATTTTCCACATTAGCTTCTAAGCCCAATTACTTTTGTGAGAAGGTCCAAGAATTAGACGTGGACCTTGGGTGCACGTAATCACCACTCAATGAACAAATACTCCCCATCACATAAAAATTAAAAAAGAGTATTGTTGAGTTGTTTCCTGACATTTTATTGTCCCAAAAAAAAGTATATTCAAGAAAAGAAGCAAATACTGCATCCGTCCCACAACAATTTTCCCAGTTTCCTTTTCCTTTCATCCCAAAAGAAAGTATATTCAAGAAAAGAAGCAAATACTCCATCCGTCCCACAAAAGTTCTTTGTTTCCTTTTCCTTTTGTCCCAAAATAATTTTATCACCTTCTTTCCTTTTTTTTTAGAAAAGAACAACAACAAAGCCTTATCCCACTACGTGGGATCAGCTACATGGATCAAACGACGTCATTGCACCCTATCATGTACCATATCTGCGGTGAGATCATTCACGCGAAGGTCCCTCTTCGACACTTTCCTTTATCTTTGGGAAGTCAAAATGAGCAAATGAATTTGGGACGAAGGACATATTCATTGTACTCATTGTTTTTTATGAAAAAGTATGACATGTCATATCTAGTTAAATAAAAAAAATTAAAAAAGACTTCGTAGTTTGTAGTTTACTATAGATATTTTAACTTGGTGTGACCTGCTAATATTAAAAATTTGTACATTTGTGAAATTGGACTCTCTTTACGGGCAGAAGGAGTATATTTTTGGCTTACATTGTCAGCACCCCAAACTCTAACAGTCCTGTCAAAAGAAGAAGTTGCAAGGCGGGCCATGCTTGGACTGAAGCGAACATCAGTTATGAGTGAGGAGTGCTCTTCAAGTGTTGTTTTTGGCTTTAAGGTGTCAGTATGCCACAAAACAGCCTGCATCACCAAACAATCAAATCAAAATTTGTGAGGAACCTTTGAAGTTGTGAAAAACCTAGAAACTTCAATAGCTCTCTACTTGGGCCGTTGGGCAAGAATGTTTTTCACCTTTTTATCATGGCCACCGCTCACTAGCAGTTTTCCATCTGACGAGAAGTGGCAGCAGACAACTTTGCTCACACTTGCACGAACCGAGTTTACTTCGGTAAATGTGAACCCTAAAGGTTGCAAATTGTTCACATCAGACTCATTCCAATAACACCCAGTAGAATACACATTTCAGAGCACCAAGTGCCTACTAGTCCTTCCTTTTTTTTTATGAAAAAAGCATGGTGTGAAAAAACCACCTGGAATAAGTTAGAAGAAAGGGGACTAAAAGAAAACACACAGGTTACTGGGAGGAGTAACAAAAAACCATTTTACAGACAAAAAACAAAATACAATATATTTACTGGGGCTAAAAACATACTTAAGCATGAAAGAAAGTAGCAAATCATGAAAAATAGTACTAGAAGCAGGATCACCTTTACTGACATCCATACCACGGCCAACTGTGTCTCTTGGGTCAGCATCATCAGGAGATAAAAAAGATTCAACATTATCATCAAGAGAACCATCATCCACAAAACGATCCATATCGGCCTGCACAACGTCTTTTCCATCCCACTGCCAAAAATAACACACAGATAGTGCACTAAAGCTTTTTGTTTGGAATGCAGAAAACAGTATTGGTTTTACTTGAGAAAATACAACAAAAAGACTACTAAAATCCCACAAAGAGTAAGGTATGGAAAAAAATTTGTTTGGGAAAATAAGAAGAAAAGAATAACTATAAATAATGGTAAAACCAATAACGCAATAAGAGTTCACATAAAAAAACCTTCTTTTTTGGTTTTACTTGGGAAAATACGTAGAACTTTTTTTTATCTGAACTCTTATAAGATTTATTATTATTTACCATTCTTAGAGCTTGTTATCTTCAACTTATACAGTTTACTTACAAAGTATTACTTATTCTTATTGGGATCAAATCACACCAGATCATACCAGATCAGAAACAACTTTAAATATACACAGTAACTTGAATCATATTAGACTTTACTAAAGTAGATCGGATCCAATCAGATCAAACGAAGAGAAACTGCTCTTAGTCTTTATACAACAGAAATATATAAATAAAACATGATTGGGCAAATATCTAAAATTGATTTATTCTGATACTTAATTTCCGCTGAAATTTATCTCGTTAACTATAGCATTTTCTTATCTTTTCAAATGGACTCTAACAAATATAGTAAAATGAGTTTTCTTTTGGACAAGTTTCTATAAAGAGTTTATAACGAATTTAGTGCTTACCAACTGATTAGAAGGTGAGGTAAGAGCACCATTGTTATCGGTTCCAAACATCATTAATGGCTTTGAAGAATTGCCACTATGTTGCATTGGAGGAACTGACATTGCATCTCCAGCAGTGTGAGTGGACGGTGTGGATGGGGCTGAACTAGGGGAAGGCCCAGCTGTGTTTGCAGTCCCAGAGCTATTTGCAGGTCCAGAAGATGAGACTGTTTGTTTCCTCTTTCTCCCATTCTGGGTTTTTGAAACCTTAAAATAGGGCAGCAAAGTCCTTTGTTAGAAATCTGTTAACAAGTACTCCCTCTGTCCCTAAAAGAGTTACTTGTTTACTATTATGGTCTCTCGATAACTCTTATTTGTTTGCATGTTTTCATTGATCATTTGATAAAATAAAATATTCTTGTCACCTCTTGTTTTGTAGAGTTTTTATGTAGTTTTTAAATATAAAATTTTTATTTTTTATTTCTTTACCAATTTGTAAATAAAATCTTTTTAAAAGTCACAGGGTTTTGCAGGTTGATCAAATAAGGAAATTCTTTTAGGGACGGAGGGAGTATGTCTTTCTCCTACAAAAAGAGCCATCAGGTGTAAGAAAAGTAGTAACACGTCCCTTCACAAGTCATAATTATGCAAATGACACCGATAGAATAGCGTGATATTAGGTCAAAATGCGTAACCCCATAGGAGATTTTCTACTTTTAGTCCCTGACTATTAGGTATATTGTGATAACTGATATTAGATCAAAATGAGTTACCATTACCCCAAAGGAGATTTTCCACTTTTAGTCCCTGACTATTAGGTCATTCCTGCTTTGGACCATAACTTTTAATTTATTCCACTTTCAGGACATGATCGGGTTTTCTTCCCACTTCTGGTCTTTTTGATCACTTACCCGGTCAATTGAAATGCTGCCATCCCCAGTAACACCTCCAGATCCCGTAATTTTATCTTGCTGAAGACTGTGGTTTGAACTTTGTGGTTGCTGACTACAAAGTGAATGCTGCTGGAGCTGCTGTTGTGGATTTTGTGAATGTTGCTGCTGCAACTGTGCCAATTTTAACTATGCATATAAAAAATTAGAAGTCACATGAGAATATATGAGACCAGGTCATTTGTAATATAAACTTATGTAACAGTTATTGTCAACAGTGTTGGTGATTTTTACTTGATTGCAACTTTTTTACTAGCCCAGTGCAATGTAACAGTTATTGTCAACAGTGTTGGTGATTTTTACTTGATTGCAACTTTTTTACTAGCCCAGTGCAATGGCAAAATTCAACTATTTGTATCAGTAGAGAGAGAGAGTCTATTGGAGGTCGTGATTCTTGAACGAAAAAGAGCTGCTTTCTCCTTAGGATATCGTTCTTCTGGTTTTCACTTGGCAAGCTTTTTAATGTAAGAAGAAAAGATGTTTGTCTTTTCATCTTTTTCCCGGCGGCATAGTAAATTGAAGAGATATTTTAAAAAGGTGAATAATGCAAAAGTAAGGGTGAAGTAATGTTTTAATTGTAAAAAAGGAGAGAACAAATTATCCATTAAAGGAAAGGGAAAGAAAGATATAGGACACTCTAAAATAAAAACGTTGAGAAAGATAAAGGGCAGAGGAAGTAAGAAGGAATGAGTACCCTCATTAACATATCTGAATCTCCACCACGAGGCAAAACAGAGCAACCAACCTGCAAAGGTGATCCCATATTCTGAACTGAGCCCATATTTGGAACATCACCAACCAGATTTGAGAGACCATCCTTCCCCATAGGCATGTTCCGGTTATTGAAGATCGTTCTCAGCCTTCTGCTCTCAGCATCACTACCCGCAGAGGATGACGTTAAATTTTGCTGAGCGAGTAACAGCTGATGCTGATGCTGTGGTGACAGCATTTGTAGTTGATGAAAGGAAGGCTGTGGGCCCTGCATATAAGACTTCTGATGCTGGAGAATTCCAGAACGAAGCTGATCAAAACTCTGCAAACAGTGCATAACAAAGCACAGAATAAGAACCAAGGGAGTTGCATATAAGACTTCTGATGCTGGAGACTTCTGATGCATACATATACATACATATATACATGTGTATATATATGTGTGTGTGTGTGTGTGTGTATGGTTCAAAATCGTGAAAAGGCTCATTGGTTGCATCAGTGGAAGAGATTAGAAATGGTTTCAATATTAGTTAAACTAAGAAGACAGGAATTCCGAGTTTACCCAAACTAGCGGTGGGATACTGGGATCTAAGCAATGCACATAAATGTTACCAATTGTGTATACAATAATTGCAGTGTGGGGGTATTTATGGTGCATAGGAGTAATATTACTACAAATAGCACAAATAAAAGCCATGTGTAGAATCTTTACTTAAAAATTCATATGTAGATTATTTTTCCAGTACACACCAAAAGCAAAGCTTGGAGAGAGGCTTGGTTACGTTACACTAGTACGCATCCCTTATCATAAAGTGGGGTTGTTAATATGGAAATAAGATCAAATTGAGTGGGGAAATGAAGAAAGGAACTCCATAAAATTCCTCACCAATCTTCTGTAATTTGACGAATCCACTCCATAAATTCCTTACCATTCCTTAAAGTTCTTCTGTTACTTGACATTCCCAAAGCACATTTATCCATGTCCACTCTCACACCAAATGTGACTGCCTCATTCACCGCCATCCTTCATAAATCCGACACGTTGATGTGAATACTCCACCCAATAACATAATAGCCAACCATGGCCTTGTATTAACTCAGTTATCCTTGATTATCAATTTGAATTTTTTACGTTCTATTTTAGGTATTTGTTAGTTATTGGTGAATCGCGGGTTTCATTCTCATCCTTTATTTATTTAATCGTGGGTTTCATTCTCATCTCCAATAGTCCACCCATTTTTGGAGAAAAATCGTATTTCCTTTTAAAGAATGAGTTAATGTTTCTCTACCACTGTCCACTATTTTAAAAAGACTTGTGTTAAGTTGTGTTGGATTTGCGATTCGGGGTAGAGAGAGAAAGAGAATGATCAAATTAAATGACTTGAATTAAGGTTTCGATTAAAGCATGTCCACCCTCAGAAAGGAGGATATTTATAAATTATAATTTATAAGTTTGAATGTCAGAAGATACTGAAAATAATCCGAGGCACATCACAACATCTCACGTTAGAGAGTTGGGATTGACCAACAACTGACAGCCCGGCGAAGAGACGAGTATGCTAGTCTACAGGCTCTCAATTTGATGTGAGTCGCACTTGAACAGTTGAACCTCATTGCAAACCTTGCAACCACCATCAAGAATTCAATCTAGACACTTTCAAACAGGGTTCACATCATTAACCAATCTTGGGCCCATTTGGCAAGTGTTAATAGGCTGAAATGGCTGGATTTGTTGGATTTTTCAAAGGGTAAATTAAATCACTTGGTAACATTTACTTCATCCATTCAAGTCAGAAGTTGCTTATTCAGCTTGTTCCAGAACGAAATACCAAACAAAGAGGCCTAGAGTCATTACGGACAAAGAAATCCCCTGAAACGGTCTCAATCGCTTCACCACTATCTCGATTCTCATCACATTGTACTGAAACTTTGAAATGGAATAGCATCCATAACCCACAAAATCCTTCAAATAGAAATTTCCAACACACCTTCCAGACACAACCAAAGAGTTTCTGACTTGTCATTGGGAACAAATACTCATCATCACAACGTTTCACGATAATGTCTTGGTTTTGCTAGACAAAAACCCTAATGTGCTAAAGGGAGTAAAAATGCATTTCGAGAAAAATGCCACAATTGGCACATGTAATATGGTGGAAAATCACAAATTATATCTATTCCAATTATCTTGCATGGTTTATTCCCCTTCATTTCATATCCTCTGAGATGAATCATTGTGGGTGATTAAAAACTCTATTTTTTTTACCTTTGAAGAATTTAAACTTTGTAAGTATAAGGGGAATTTGTTCGTTTGTGCAAATAAGGAAGAATTATATTCAAATTAAAGAGAACAAAGATTTTCTCTCCAAAGTGATACTCTATTAAATAGAGTAGAAACAATGTAAACCACAACAAAAAATTATCTTTTACGTGAAGCAAAAAATATGATTAGCATATTATAGTCCGTCAAATGCCCACATGTCATCAAAATGGACACCATGTGGCACACCAAAGGTCATCAAGTGTCCGACCTCATATATTGCGATCTCTATTGGATTGATATGATGGTCAAAATTGCATAGCTGTATATTGAATTGTTTAGAAATAAAATTGCATTTGAAATGAAAAAAACTCGCCCAATTCCTTGGATTCAAATAAAACCCATCATACGTTGGGTAGGGATGGGGATTGTTGGCCATATGTGCATCAATCATCCCGAGGTGGAGGCTATGTGAGTCGAGTCATACTCGAATGTCGTGGGTACTTGTATTTGTTGAATGCACTATAAGGCTGGAGTATATGCTTCTTCTAAGACCAATTGGATTTAGAAGCGTTGGTAGCACCTCAGGTCTACAAGGGTGGGGCATACAATGTGTTTCTGGGTTTTTTAATCCAAACATGGGCATCACACACCATTCCAGGGAGGGTCAAGAGAATTCCCAAAAATCACATGTCAATCTAAACGAGGCGTAACGAGGCGTGAACTGTAGGTACTGTTTTTCAGTTTTCACATTCTTGATAAGTTTAAATATTTGTTGATTTGTTGGGATCAATGGTAATGGTGAGGTTGAATGATTAGTAGATTAGTGATTAATAGTAGAACCAATATGTAAATGAGCAAATAGAGATCATTATAGACTCCTTTAAAAAAAGATCATTATAAACCAAATATTTCAATCAATAAAAAATTGTGATTAACGATGATAAAATAGTAACGATAATAGCCGATGCATTATTGTTTAGAAGTACATAAATAACTAAAAATGCAAAAAAAAATCTAATAAACTTACAGTCAAGGGCCATCCCTTCAAAGTCAAATTGTTGCCACCATGATTTGAACCTAACACACGTATAGAAAAATCAGTGATGGCATACTTAACACATCATTACAAATCCAAAATTAGAGCTATAATGTCTTATTTTTACCTTTGATGCCCAGTAATTAACAACAACCCAGTTGAGTCCCACAAAAGTTGGGTCTGTGGAGGGTGTGTGTACGCAAACCTTACCCCAACTCGAAAGTAGAGAGGCAGTTTCCACATAGACCCCCGGCTCATGCATAGTAATTAATAAATTCCAATATAGCTGAATATTTCTAATGTTACTTTATAGTGGAAAATGTACCCGGAATCCCCACCAATGATCCTTCTGGACCAGCAGCTCGCGAGTTCATCATTGGGTTGATTTCAGGCTTTATGTCCTGGAATACAATTGCAATTTGCATTACAATAAGTAAAATACTTCTAGGGTCAGTTTGGAACCCGGAAACTGTTAGGTAAAGAAAATAATGAGGAATATATAGAGGGAAACTTTGGAAATGAAAGATTGCAAAGTATCCCTGCATGGCAAGGGTCCAATGAAAGAGTGTTATGTAGGCAAGCTTTGTCTTGCATTTTTGCAAGGGACTGCTTCCCAAACTCAAACCTGTAACCTCAAGTCACATGGCAACACCTCGACTGGTGCTCCAAGGCTCCCCTTCTTATTATATAATGACTACGAAATATGAGTACATGTGAAAAAATATTATATTTTTAATCAAATCCCATTTTTCTATGCATTTTCCACGGTAAAAACAACCATTAAAACTACTCCGGCTAGCTTTTTCCATCTCCCAACCATTTCCTGGATTCTAAACACATCCAGAATGAATGCTAAAAAAAATTATGTTAATATGACACTAACCGGTGCAGACCCTGGAAGTTGCTGGCTCGGAGCCTGAACTAGTGGAGACATGCCGCCAGCTGCACCATGCAGCACTTGACTGAAAAATAGGGAAGGTGCTTATTATATTTTGCCAATGAAACCTCAATCAAACATTTAAAAAGGTAATCGCCAGTGAACTATAATTTCACATGAAACTATGATTAGTAAAAAAGGATGGGGGAAAAGTAAAAAAAACAGAAAAGCACATGGGAAAAAGTCAATTGACAATTATACCCCGAGGGCTGACCAGCTGCAGCAGTAGCAGATTTCAGAATGGAAGCATGAGCCGGATCCAACAGCTGGCTAGAATTCTCAGCAAACCTTTGCTGTAACGATTAATACACATGTCTAGTAACTAGGGATAGCATACTTAATTATTACACTACTTACAATCCAGTAAAATATTATATACCTTTGTGGGGGCATCATCCATAGGATCCCTCTGCCCAGGAACTTTCAATCCTTCCTCGTACATTTTTGTAGCCAATGCATTTGCACCCGGACTTTGTCTCACAAGAGGGTCATTTCCTCCCATTCCGTTCGGTGTTCCATTCAACATATGGTTTCCGTCTCTCCTTTGTTGCTGCTGCTGTTGTGATTGTGTTTGCTGTTGATGCTGTTGTTGTTGCTGCTGCTGTTGAGCTTGTCTTTGCAATAAAAGTTGTTGCATTTGTATTTGTTGTTGTTGTTGTTGTTGTTGCGGTTGTTGCTGTTGTTGTGATTGTTGTTGCTGCGGTTGTTGTTGTTGTTGTTGCTCCCTTGCTTTCATCAGTTGAGTCTGCACACAGAGCAAACCCAAATTTAATAAGAAATTTAATGAAAATTTACACATATACGCCCTCTGTCTCATAAAACGCGTTACGGTTTGAACTTATATAGAATATAAGAAAAATGTTGAAAAGTAATAGTATATGATTAGAATTTGTTTAAATGAGATAAATGTTATGAGCCACATATATTCATTGCTAAAATAAGAAATAAGGTATAAAGTTATGTTTGGAAGTCCAAAAAAGGAAAGTGTAAGGTGTTTTATCACTTTTATGGGGCAGAGTAAGCATATGTATACACACGACAACAACAACAACAACGACGACAATAATCCTAGTAAGATCCCACAAAAAGTATGGTCTAGGGAGGGTGTGTGTACTAAGACCTTATCCCTACTAGAAAGAAGAGAGACTGTTGGACCCAACAGACCCTTAGCTCAAACACACACAAACGCACAGACTATATGTATACATATACATACATACATGTGTGTGTACATAAGCCTTTATGCAATAATAATACTTGAATAAAATGGGTTTGAACAAATATCCTTATTTCCCCGCATTTCCTACCTATTTTCATTCTCCGGAGTTTTTCATGTTCCAGGTAAACCGTTGGTGAATATGGCTAACTTCCACACATGACAAAGAGGGAAACTACCATGTATAAGAAACCAAAGATTTCCAATTTAGAAACTCTTCCGGGTTATGATACAACTTTTGCAAGACTTGGATTAAATATTTAAAGACTCCTAGTAATAAATCCCCTGGTATGTCCCCTGCTGCAAGATCAAGTGATTAGGATCTTGCAAAACTATTTAGGTATGCCCAAATAACAGTACATGTCAAATCAAGAATCTTTAGATCCAGGCAGTGATTTTTAGAACTGGCATATTGAGGGCAAGCAACTCTCAGATCAAGTGCTCATCTGTTATCTTGGTTAGATTTATTGGGGTGAAGTTAATGAGTGTTCTGAAAGGAAGAGCATTTAGGATGTGTTTGCTTGGAGGGAAATATGAGTTTCAGTATAAGGGAAATAGGAGGGAAGATAGAAGTAATTGAAAATAATTTCTGCCCAACTTTGGAATGAAATCAGAAGGAAATAACTTTCTCTCTACTTTCTTTATCTCTTCTGTCCTTCCCCATTCCCAATTCAGTTTCTGCATGCCCTAACCATCCAATAGCTCCATCCCTGACCAATACTAAAAGCTTTAAAAACTACATTATATTTTTTATATTTACATGACCCTATACTAATAATTTTAAAAACAGATTTAAACACTTCTAACAATGTTTACTTTATTTAATTTTTTAAAAGTAATAAATTTATTATCTAAAAATATACTTTTCAATGATTATATAATGAAAAGAGTGTGCCTTTGCTGTAAGGAAAATTTCTTAGGATGTATTATTAAATTTCTAGAACTTACTATGCTATGTACAGAGTTTCCTCTTTATTCAGATGAACTTACAATAGTAATTAATAAAATAAATCTAAACAGTATTAATAATATATACTTTATTTAACATTTTGAATAATAATAAATTTATTTTACAAAAAATATAATTTTTAATAGGTAAATAACGACTTTGTTCTGCATGTATTTTGTTTGAAAGGGTGTAATTACATTTTTATTTTAATAAATACTTTATTTCCTAATTTCTATCCAACCAAACAAGGGAAGTTAAGTTAATTCATTTCCCTCAATTCCGTTCAACCAAACAAATCAGTGGATATTGAATTCCCTTTTCACTTCCTTCTTCTATATTTCCTTCTTCTCCGCTTCCTTCCTTTGCCAAACATAGTGTTAGTAACATCCATTAAGGCGAAATAAGCAAGTCAGAAGCTACTCATTCTATTTAATCTAAACAACACAAACATAATAAGGCAGATAAATATTTCAAACAGAGCCTAAGTTCACAAAAAACGAAAAATCACAAAAAATGAATGCACCTCAATATAGGATGCAGCAACATCAGAGTGCTTGTCATTGGTCCTTGCAATAAAAATATCCCAAAAAACTGACCACCACTCGAATAAAAAACCGCCAGGTGCATCGATCGCTGAAAAACAGTCATACGAAGGTCTGAGGATTGTACAAAACCATAAAAGTCAATCAAGAAACTCCCTACAAAGCTTACCAACAGGGTCGGACGAGACCTTCCCTTCAGCTTGAAAAGCCTGAGCTGTAGCTTTTAAATCTCTCTTCACTAAGTAATCATATATATACACATCTAACCTGAAATTTTTAAAAAAAACCATTTTAAAAGCAAAACATAAGGAATTAATCCAACTGTTGTGTTGTTAATTTCAGCACCCAACTAAAATTATATAAATATAAATACATACACACAAACACAGTAACAAAACCAGAATAAGGACAGCAGTTAAGAACTCTTGTTTGTTCAGTAAACACCCAAAGCAATGCTCAATTTAATTAGCTGAAAAGAAATCTTGATGTTGAACCTACTGCTGGAATAGGAGCGCATATGCTTTCAACCATCTAATTAACAAATCCATGAATTAAAAAATGAACTCTTTTCGTTAACCCTGGTTCATGCATCAATCTTTGGAAACCCTAAGTACCCAACAGGGAGAAAAGAAAGGGGGGAATCAATTGAACATAAAAAAAAAGAGAAAACCAAAAAAACAAGAATCTAGCTTTATGAAACACATATACCCCCAGAACACAAATCTACCAAATAACATAAAAATTAGAGCTAAAGTGGCTTTCAAAACCCCCAAATACTTTAATAGAGAGCTGAATATCAAGAAAGTTTACATTTTATCAGCTTCCCAGTTGGTCTGTGACATGATTCTTCAATCCAATTCAGCCAGTAAAAACAGCCCCCAGTAATGTCAGATCCTAATCACTCAACTCCTTGGCTTCCCAGATTCTGTGCTACTAATTACTCTCACAGCAAAAAATCACAGTGTGTTTAAATAAAGAAACATACTTCTGGGTTTCTTCTCCAATCGAGTAATAATCTACTTTAAAAAACAGGGGGGAAAATATGGAAAAAAAGGCAAAAGACTCAAACTTGCATAGCCAGGATGAAAGTTTAACAGTTTCGAGAAGAACAGAGCTAGAAGAGAATATAGAGATAAAGACTACTGAAAGAGAATGAGAATTGAGAACCCTTTTTATGTACTGTATTTATTTATATATATATATATTTATTTTAATTTTATTTTTTTTCTTCTTTTATTTTATGATTTCTTTCTTTCTTTCTTTTTAGGTGTTTTCCATGTGGATGGAAGGATTTTGGCAGCTCTACTGCTGTATCAATAATAATCTCAAATTTAGCTCTGTTTGGGGGGGGGGGGTTATTTACCATCCAAGTCCTTGATACTCTTCGTTATTTCTATCTAGTCCCTGGGGAGATTGGGATCCACCGACGAAATGACCAAAAGCCCTCTGTCCATTTTGGACGTGTTTACGACCAAAACTGCGTCAGCGCAGACGTGGAAGGCTATCATAAAACACGACTTTTCCACTTTGCAGAAGTTTTCCAATCGGTACTTAAGATTCATTATATTTCACAAAATCCCCTGCATTTTGATGAAATTGTTTTTCAGTCCTTTCCTAATTTCTACCCTTGCCCAAATGCGGTCTCATAAGTCATATCTAGTTTTCATTGACTTTTTTACAAAGTTTAAGTGGGTATAAGTCTGTAAGATATACCGAGAATACAAATTTATTCTCTTCCAAAAATGTTGTCTCAATTATTATTTCTATGTTTCGATAAATTTTGTTCATTTGTATATTATCATTGATTATTTTATAAATTCAATTTTTTTTCACATCGTGTGTTATGCTTGGGGTAAAAAATTTAATTTGTACTTTTTATTTTATAACAAAAGAGAATAATAATACGGAGTGCTCCATAATATTATTTGTGAATTATTATACAATTTGTTGCATAAAAAAATAAAGTTTTCATTTTAAATGTCGGTAAGAAAATGCTTCATGCTTCACACTAGGACCAAAAAGTTGATTCAACATTATTTCGAACCCAATTTACATTGTACCAAACTAAAAAACCAATTTTCAAATAGTTCACACATGTTATATCTCAAGTGGAAACATCTTGTTTTCAAATGAGACACTTATCACAAGCAATCTACAACTATACGTCTACACTACATTTATAACACATCTTGAATTTTAAAATATATAGAGAGATTTTAAATTTGGTAAAGAGTCTTGCACTTAACTCAAACATATCAAGATGTACAATCTTTAGAATTTAAAGGCCCGTCCTCTTCAACTAACTGACCTGATTGAAATAAGGTTGATTATGGTTTGATCTATTTGTAGTTATATTTAAAATTATCTCTTATCAGATCTGATTTTAATAAGAAAAAAATAATAAGAATACGTTGAAAAGAACAATCATATAAAAACAAGTTAAAAAGAACAAGCTCTAAATCATCTTACAAAAGCGGTTTCTCCTAATATTCGAACTAAGAATTTATTTTCTTCAACTCTTACTTTTTACTTACTGCGTATTATTTTTTTAATTAGAATCAGATCATATCAAAAACAATTTTAATTATAATTACTATTTTTTTACTGACTCTGGTGTACTTTACAAGAGCCATTTAAATCTTGTGCAAAGTATGTTTTGATCAATATGAAGAGCCCAAAATTTTGGATTTGGTATAAATTTTGTATAATTGTGTTGCACATTTACCATTATTCAATTAAATTTAAGAGTACTTTCATCCATTTCGATTTTCGGGTGTATTTGGTCTCATTTTTTTGCACTCGAACAAAAAAAAACGAAGATATATTGATCGTTGTGTTTTTTGTTTACTAAAATGAGATTAAAAGTATTAATATCACTCTATTTTATCTTTCTTAATACGAACTTGTTACAAAATTAGATTAGATGACTTATAATATAAATGCTCGATAAATATAAGAATAAATTTTATAATTAATCATTTATAATGGAGATTTTTCATATTTAGTTTCCTATTATCAAATATTACTCTGGTAATCCTTCTTTTATGAGTATCTTCTAAAACTATTCCTTTTTTTTAATTTTCTGTCATGTTGATATTGATTTTATGGCTAAAAGTGTAGTTTTAGGAGAACCCTGAAATATGGTCGTGCTAATCCGATGAGTTAATCCCCCAGATCGCCTTCTGTAATGACTATATAGGAGAACGACCATGCAACAATATGACCGGTCACTTTCGGGGAAGACATGAATGGTCAGTTTCCACGATCGACATTCCGTGCTACCTCAAACTCAACTCGGATTCTTGATCGGTCATAGTTGACCTGTCACTTTTCCGTGTATTCGGGCCGGGTATTAGTTATACCCATCAAAATTAGAATAAATGACTTATAAAATAAATATTGGATAATTACAAGAGTAAATTTCATAAAGTTGATGTAAAATTATATTTTTAGATTTCAAATTAAGATTAACATGGCACAAAGTAAAAAACGATTATTTGTGAATAGATACTCATAAAAAGAAGGACTATGAAGATAATATTTAATAATAAAAAACAATATATAAAACATTTCATTTTATAAAGGATTAATTATAGTATAATGAGACGGATGAGGGAGCACTCAAAAAAAAAACATGTGTTCCGTATATTTCTTCTAGATTTTGTGAGATCCGTTTGTGCAGCCCAAACAAGATCCGGTGGGCGTACCCAATCGACAAAAAGACATTTTTGTCCTCAAATGTCACCAAGATCAACTGGCATCGTATATACCTTTGTCATCTACTCCGTATCAAAATTTACCCATTTCATATTTTCAAATCAATCCATGGATCCCAAATTATTCCCGTAGATTATTATTTGCATATTTTCCAGTTTTTTTTTTCATTTTTTTTCACCTAAACAATACTTTTTCAGTTCACCAACACCCTTCATGCTTACTATTTAAAAGTGGAGTTTATTGCACAAGAAAAGACTAAATTACATGTAAAACATTGAACATAAAAATTAAACGTTCATGAAAATTTTTTGATAAAGAACTTGAAAAAAAATTATGAAAAAAGAGAAGAAAAAAAATAATAATAATAATAATAATAATAATAATAATAATAAAGAAAGAAGGATAGTGAGTGTTAGTGCACACCCATTTCCAAAACCATACAAGGCAACGAAACTATTCATTTAATATTTGAAGAGTATGTTTGTCTCGAGTGACATTGGCAAATGAATATCAGAATCACGAAGATAACGAAGCGAGTTTTAAAATCATGAAGGTCAACGAATCGTCCACATTTACCAAATTAAAAAGTATATTGTTGCAATAAACTCATTCAAATTTACGCCTACTAAAGTAAATATTACTCCCTCCGTCCCGAAATAGATTACAATATTCCCTCACATTTTTGTCCCAAAAAGAATTACAAAATCAATAACTTTACAAGGAATTGACTCTTTTACCCTCCCACTCCTACACTATTCACACACTATTCATCCATGTGAGTGGGAAGGATACTTGGGGGATTTGGAGGGTAATTTGGGGAAAAAAAATTGATTTGATTCTTCCTTAATTTCAACAAAAATGAAGTATTGTAATCTAAAGTGGGACGGAAGGAGTACTATGTAAAAAGATAATAATGTGAAATCAAAAATATAGGTCAAACAAGACTTTCTTGGCAGAGGAAGAAAAAAGGCAAGCATTTGCCCACGGATTCAAAAGCACTTTTCCATTTTTCAACAAGACTAATGATCTACGGAGTTTTCTGCTATATTGTATAACATTTCTCGGGCCCAAAACAATAGTCACATTTCGGATAACATATAGAATCTCATTTTTTTATATTTTATATTAATAGGTGTAAAAATAAAAAATAATACTACAAATTTCAAAATATTTTAAAAACTTATTTCATAAAACAAGATGTCACAATAATAATTTATTTTTTAATATAATAATAAGAAACAAAAATTTATCCGAAGATAATTGAGATGATTATTTGGTAATAATAATACTCCGTAATCGACACTCCATAATAATTAGTGAAATTTGCACTGAATAGGACTAAAACATAAGTCATTTTCCAATATAGGACTTAAACTTTTTTATTTCCTAAATAGAACTTAATAATGACCAGTGAGAAGAATAATGTCCAAGTGATGCTGGACATTTAGTTGAATAATGACTAATAGATAATGACCCAAAGTCTTACATTGGGAAATAAAAACATATGGTCCTATTTTGAGAAAGTCATTATGTTTTAGTCCTATTTAAGCAAAGAGCCCGGTTCCATGGCCACTGGATTCCAGTGGCCACGGAAGCCACTGCCCCCCTATGGAGCTCTGTTTATAAAATTGATGATTCCTATCCCCCTAACCCCCCCGGCAAACCCCCCCCCCCGCCAAGTCCCGACCCAAACTAATCACCCCACCTACATCAATTGCACCTCGTAAGTATAATTGACTTTAAAATCAAAAGTTTTGAATTTATACTTACGAGGTGCAATTGACGTATGTGGGGTGATTAGTTTGGGTCGGGACTTGGCGGGGAGTGTTTACCGAGGGGTTAGGGAGGGTAGGAATCATCAATTTTATGAACGGAGGTCCGTAGAGGGGCAGTGGCTAGGGGTGCATACAAATCAAATAAAATGTATTCGATTCGTGATTCGTATTCGAAAAGGATGATTCGTATTCGCTATATTCGAATCTGAATACAAATATTAATAGATTCGATTCGTTTCTTATTCAAATTATTTGAATATTATAATTTATAAATAAAATTATATATATTCTAATATATTAAATATTTGTGTAAATATGTTAACATATTTTAATATATTAAATTTTTGTGTACATATGTTAAAAATCACTGAATTAATAATTTTGTGTACACTAAATTATAATTTTGTTGTACATATTTTTACAACATTTTACATTATTATAAAATAATAATTTAATGTCTTTAAGAAATCTATTTCAAGAAAAAAATTTCTAATATTTTCGAATTTGAATATTCGAATATGAATTCAAATACGTCAAATATCTATCAAATCGAATACGAAAGTTTTTTTAAAATTCGAATTATATACGAATCCGAATTCGAATACGTATCAC